TTTTTTTTTTTTTTTTTTTTTTTTTTACATTTATGTATTAAGTAGAGTTTTAAAATTATTAATTTTTTCAATATTAGAAATTATATTCTAGCCTGCCAATGTTTGAGAAACACTGATATATTAAGTGTTTTGCACAATAAAGAATTGAACAAATGGTGGCTCTATCTAATATATTTCCAAATGTAAAAAAAATTATCGTAAAATTTCGATAAGAATTATATATATTGCTCTCTATATATAATATATATAATATATATATATATATATATTAAGCAGAGTAATATTTTATAATTAATGCGAAACTTTTATAGTGGATAATTATCATTTAGATTATTATAATTTTTAATTTTATTTATATATATGACTTACTTTCTTCATTTTCATTTATGAAACATTTTTACACATTTTATATTATTTTTACAATGTATACCGTACTTTATATTTTATAGAAATTTACTTCTTATTTATAAATATAAAAATTATAATAAGAAAATATAATATTTTTTTTTAAAATTATAATAAGAAAATATAATATTTTATTTTATTTTTAGGAAAATATTTTCCTAATTATATTAAAATTAATCTTATATTAAAAACAAATTTATATTATTCATCTTTAATTTTATAATTATATTTATTTTTTTTATATAATTTATATTTATTTTTGTTTAATATTACTTTTTTTGTTATTATAATTTAAAAAATTAAATGAAATTTATGTCAAATAATTTTAAATCGTTGAAACAAACAAATTTTTTAAATACTGACATTAAAAAATTCAGAAATTTAAAACAATTTGAAATAAAATTGTGAAATATTTGTAGTATATGATATTTTTTTCTTTCTTTTTTTTTTTTATTTTTACAAAAACATATGAGCATGTTTTATATAATAATTTTATTATAATTTTACTATTTCAAATTGATTTAATTTTTACTACTAAATTGCTTTATTTTTTAAAATAATCTACTTATTATTTATATTATTATGTTAAAATATTTATTGGTATTTTATATAAATGTATATATATATATATGCACATATTATGTGTCATAATTAAAATTTTTAATATATTGTATGTTTAAACTTAAATTTCAAATATATTTACAATTAAATTTCAATTTATAAAAAATATTTAAAACTAAAATGTGAAAAAATTAAATTAAATCTATTATTGATTTAAAAATAATTTTGAAACTTTTGAATATCACTTTATTATAATTTGTAATATACATTATACATATATTATACATATATTTGATGCTCACAAAGCATTTTTTTATTAGTATTTTTATCTGCCAGGATGCAAGCCACTGACAAGAATTTAAATTTAATTAAAGTATTATCACTGTAATATAATAATGTATAATAATGTAAAATTGCATGTTACTAATGAAAACCATAATTTTATGTTATTAAACATTAAGATTCTATTATACAATATTAGCATATATTAAAAATATTTATTACATAACTAACTGTTATTTGTCTGCTATATTAGTATTACTTATAATATCAATAAAAAAATTGAATAATATAATTTAGATGATATTTTAAATTTTAAAATGTTATTAAATCATTTTGAATTTGTTTAGATCTAATTAAACATAAGTTATATTCTTTCATTATAGATTCTGTAATTTCAATAAAGAACAAAGAATTATATATATCTAAAGTTATATATGTAAGATAAAATTTTGTTTTTAGATACACAGATGAGTTTAATGTTCGAGAAGACTTAATGGGCTTAGCAATTGGTGCACATGGGGCAAATATTCAGCAGGCAAGGAAGGTTGATGGAATTACAAATATAGAATTAGAAGAAAATTCATGCACGTTTAAAATATATGGAGAGGTAAAAATAGAAATATTTATTTTATTTATTTTTTTTTTTATTATATTTTTATTATATGTCTTATTTATAAAATAAAAATAAATTTATTCAAATGACGTTTCTATAAAGAAACATTGAATACATATTTAATTACAGACACATGAAGCAGTTAAAAAAGCTCGTTCTTTACTTGAATATAGTGAAGAATCTATACAAGTACCACGTGTTTTGGTAGGCAAAGTAATTGGAAAAAATGGTCGCATAATACAAGAAATTGTTGATAAAAGTGGTGTGGTAAATATTATATTCATATTAATTAATTTTATAAATATTTATAAAAATATATTAAACACACTTTTATTGATTTTTTCAAAAATAATTAATTTTTATATTAATTTAAAATAAAATTAATATAATTTGTAAATATATAAATATAATAATTAAAATAAATAAAAATTAATGAAAATAATTATTCATGATATGGTTAACAGAATAATTCTAAATATAATTATAAATTTTAGGTACGAGTTAAAATAGAAGGTGATAATGAACCTCAACCAACAATTCCAAGAGAAGAGGGTCAAGTTCCCTTTGTATTTGTTGGTACTGTTGAAAGTATTGCTAATGCCAAAATGTTATTGGAATATCATTTGGCGCATTTGAAGGTATAATGGCATGAAATATGTATAATATATTTTAGATAATATATAATTTAATTATTATTGTTATAATTTTTTATTATTTGACTTAAAGGAAGTAGAACAATTACGTCAAGAGAAATTAGAAATTGACCAACAATTAAGAAATATGCATGGATCGACCACAGGACCAATGCCCAACTTTCCTCCAACAAGACGAGGAATGATTACAGGCCCAGAAGAAGGTGGTGGAGGCCGTGGAGGTCGTGGTGGTCAATCTCGCGGACGTGGTGGCAGGGGTAGGGCTCCCGCCAGACACAATGCTGGTAATACTATTACTGACTATATCAACAATGTAGAGAACACACAAAAACGTAATGGCAGAAGCGGTGGATCCAACACGAGAGACAGTAGAGAACCCAGAGATTTTAAAGACAGAGGGCGTGTTGTCACAAAGTAACATTCAATAATTTGTTGAAACAGTGCTAGGATTATTACTATACAAGGTTTATAGTAGAAACTCAGTTATTCGGATTTGGCGGGATGACTTTTTAGTTTGAATAAATAAAGATCAGGATATCATTCGATATTCCCGCTACCACCTACTAGTTCATTCATTACCCAATACAGTGCAAATATATTTTTTGTCTCATACATTATTTGTCATAATTTAATCCATTTTTTACTATATAATAAACTGCTCACTTTTAATAATCTATAGAAAAATTTGATGTATTTAGATATTTCTTAATATCTAAAAGTTAATAGATAAAATAAATTACATATATAGCTTTACATTCAAATATATAACTTATAAAAATATTTTTTTCTTTGAATTGATAAATATTTTCTAAAGAATCTTTTTTGAGCTCAGTAAATAAAACAATTTAATGTTAGAGATTCGGATAAACGAGTTTTTACTGTAATTCATTCTTGGAAATACTCATTAAATGATTTAAAAGTTTACTTTATTACATTTAATAAATTGAAAGCTTACAAATTTGTAAATTTATCAATATAAGCATAAAAAATAATGATCAAAACATATACAAAGAGAATAATTTTTTCTTCATGTATTAATTTATTCATGATTTTTATTATTATTAACGTTAAAATAATTCATTTATTCAAATCAGATTTGATCTTAATATCTTTTTATAGTCGTTAATGCCTTTCATTGTTTAATTATATAGATTTGAAGCTATACTTGTTATAAAACCGTTTCAGCTATTTAGTTTTTCATCGTACATCGTTATTCGTAATTCATTGTTTTTGTCATAATTACTTTATACTTTCTCAATTAATATCTATAGATATATTCACAATTCGCATTTGTAAACATGTCATCACATAGAACATGGAATTATAATAGAAAATAACTGCAACCATATGCATTTGCATGTATGTGTTTAATGGAAATGCATGTAGTAGCTAAGTAACTCACGGTGTGTGATTTATTTGATTTATTGGTTATTGAGAAATAAATAAAGTACATAATATTGTTTTGTGTGCGAATTGTCTAATCACGTATTATATATCTTAAGAGTAACTACTTTTTATGGATTAACAAATATGCCGCGTCAAATTTATGACATGTACGTATATAACGACTTTCGAATCTTTCATTTAGTTAAATAATACATTGAATGTAATTAACTTTAATTGCTTTTTAAACGTTAACAAAATTGAATGTTGTCTTAACTATATAGGTTGTTTGCAAGTTGATAAATAAGAAATTAAGAAGCAATTATGTTATTATTTTTATTAAAAATGTACTTATATACGTTTTGTAATAAAATTTACCTTGTAAAATACTCCACGTGAATCTGATTTTTAACTTATAAAATATTAGGTAGTAACAATCACAAGTATTTTACAAATGTTCTTAATTACATTAATGTAATTCAATAAAACTATATTCTGTGATTTAATACTACATTAATATATTAGTTTTCATTTAAATTTGTATAAATTTATGGAAATATAAATATTAACGGTAGAAGAAGAAATTAAAAAATTAGTGAGCTTGATTCCAAAGATGCCTCTTCACTCCCAATTAATACCCTTAGTTATTATAATGGAAAACATCATTGATAATGTGTTAAATGCTACATTGATCATCATCGACTACAAGTAAGGATACTAATCTTTCATCATTTCATTTGTTTTACAAAATCATTAAAATGTTTGTGTTCATCGTGTTACATTCAAATTTTAACTTGTTTTTTTGTTATAAATCTGATTTAATTTACAGGATTACGCCGAGACACCTTAGATGGCAGTGAAGATCGAGTAAGGGATCTACCGCCAAGAGGTGGCCATCAAGGAGGTGCAGGCAATTCAGGGTATATGGGTGGTAGACAAGGTCGTCCTCCAACTCAACGTAGAGATCGTAGAGATGAACGTCGTCGAACAACCGATGATGAAGATACTGTTCTCGATAGTCAAGATGTTTCAAGTATTGATAGAGGTAACAATATTTTTCTAATAATATTTTACAGTAGAACAGCCGTTTCGTCCTAAAGATTAGTAAAATCCTTTGAGAATAGCATGGATTGTGAAACAAACACTTGTGACCATCTAACACTAACAATATCAATGATGATTACTAATGCACGCTACTAACGTATGTGAAATGTAGCTTTTTATATAATCAGTCACAAAAATATTTAATTTTCAGTAGTATTTTTATATTATTTTATAAAAAGATGGTCACAATAGTTTGCATATGCATAGAGTCTGTATCAAGTGTGGAGGGAGGACCTAAAGGCATAAGGCGAAGACGACTTCGACGTTCTCGACAACGTAGTTCTACACCAACAAATAATCAAAAAGGTAATTACGCGAAATTTAAAAAGGATTTATGATATTTCTTTAGGACGATCGGTATTAATAACATAAGAGTAAGTGCAGTATTAAATATGTTTCAGAATGTGTATTGATGTTAATATACAGTAACACTCAGAGTTAATCTATATATTTGTTTAGGCAGCAATGCCGGTCCAGGAGACCAATCAACTGTAACTAGTAAAGAAGGAACACCAGCCAATGACGTTTCTACTACTAACAACAGTTCCCAAGGGCCTAAAGGCCAAAGAGAATTACGGTCTCGTCGTATGCAACAGAGCAATAAGCCTAAGGAAGCTCTGGTTAACGGTACCAGTGGCTAAACAATCATTATGGTCGACAACTGCTACTTACATATAACATTACACCTGATGAGAGCTATTAACACCCAGCACATAACATGACGCATACCTACGCAAAGACTACACGATTATGGATCGCGACATGATTAGTCTACGCTCGTTGTTAAGACTGTTTGCTACCGATAAGAATACGACTGTTGTTTAAGAAATCGTCATTCTCCTTAAACACATTTAAGGACACATATTAATATCCATGCATGGTTTAGTTTAATGATAGTGATTATGCTATCATGTTTGATATATGGATACATTCATTGGGAGATAGTAGAAGCATCTAAAAAAGAATCCCCTGATTGTGAAACTGTGCCTCATTTTTATACCAAGCTCCCAACTTGTGTGACAGTAATTTGGATGTACTGTAAAGTACTTCTTAATCACTTGAAAAAAGATCTAATAATAGGCTGGATATTTGTGGCTCGTATGTCAATTATCAATTTGAATAATTTTCGCCTAGATGTGTCGCTATTATTATAAAAAAATAACACAATACGTACAAAAACACAGGATTTAATCAATTTTATTCTCTTTCTTTTGTTTTTGTTTTTTTATCTTTTACATCATTGCAATAATTGTAATAAAGACATATTTGACATATGAACAAAAGTACGTGTTTTGTGTTATTTTATATTCACATATGAAAACAAAAAATCAATAATTGAACATACTGGGTATAAAACATTTTGCGACAAAACTAGGACGAAACATGATATGATGAAAGAAAAAATGGATTCCCATTGTTATTTATAACAATGGTAGGTGGCAGCTGCATGAAATCTTGGTTAAAAGGTGTTCCCAATGATGTTCCTTCTATTTACTTCACAAGATTGATTTTTTTTTTTTTTTTTTTTTTTTTTTTTTTTTTTTTTTTTTTTTTTTTTTGTTACGATTATTACTAGAGTTATTTAACAACACTAGATTTTCAATTTTATGTTTCAATACTGAGTGTTGATTAATAATACCATGATGCTAAAATGACTTATTTGATTGTAAAAAAAAACAAATGGGTGTACAAGAAGTCGGTTTTTATTTCCGGGTTCACTTTTCGTGTAATTTAGTTTTTTTTATTACAGTCTAAGCATACTATATCAAATATTAGGATTTGATATGACGTTCATTTCTGCATTGTTTCGCATGATTTAAAAAGAAAGTAAACGTATACTTAGTAATACCAATGTATGATGTGCCAGAGAAGGAATGATACATGTTTTATGATATCTAGCTGAAGTGCAGACTTAGCGCATACCTTTATTACTATAATACTACTTAGTCGAAATGTGAATGTCTGAAAAAATAAACTAGCTTTACTATACTAAGCTATAAAATAGATATGGCTAACTGTTTTAAATTGATTATCAGTGAATATGAAACATTATCTGTCAATTTAAAACAGCTGCCTTTTCTTCCGGATATGACAACAATTAATCGGACATGTCTTAAGGATTTTGCAAAAACGCATGGCGGTTAATGCAACATATTGACATCTAACAAAACAGCTGCCATTTTATCTGAATATTCTCATGGCAGCAAAAAAAACTGAGACATCCCCCAACTTGCTTGTTTCAGATACATTTGTATTGATTGCAATTTGTGCATAATTTAAGAATAAAACATTTCTGTACATAGAGCGGTCATTAGTATGATGAACCACAATTTTTTCGAAACATTGATAATCGTTTTTTAATCTTAACAGTCGTTTTAAACTACAATCTTTATCCCTATCCCTAATTTCCGTAACATATTTTCTATTAAAAATAATTATTACGCTTAATTTTCTCATGAAACTTATAGTCTGAAAATATTAATAATATTTAATTACTATAATTTAATTTATAATTACAAAAATATTAATATAAAAATGCAAGCATGAACAAAATAATTTTTTCATTCTAATTTAAAATAATGAACAAAAATCATTTAATTTATAAAATTAAAATTTTTTAAATTTATTTAATTAAAAAGAAAAAAAAATTTTTGAATAAGAGAAAATAAAATTATTCTTAATAAATATGGATTTGGAATTTTCGTGTGTCTATTGTTAAATAAATCATTAAAATCGTTGATATATTTACTATAAGTGTGTTTGCTTCTATGGAAAAAATAAAAATATTTTTTTATTATAAAATCATTATATTTAATATATTTATATTTTATTCAAAATTTATTTTCTGAAATAAAATAGTTGAAAATTCTTTTCTAATCACAATGTATATTTCAATTTTTAAAAATTTTAAAAAATTTTTTAAATACAAATTACAAATAAATAAAGCAATATTTGCAAATATAAATTTTTAAATTCAAAAATATAACAAAGTTTAAAAAAACAAAAAAAATTATAAAATATTTAAAATTATTATAAATCATATCATTTTATTCATGGACTAAGTTTTAATTATATTTATTATTATTTATTATATTATTATATATACATATCATTTAAAATATAATATAAACAATAATAAAGAAAAAAAAATAATACAAACATAAAAATAAAAATTCAAATAAAATTAACGCAAATAAATATGAACTATCCCATATAAATCTGATATAAATATTGATATAATTATTGATTTAAAAAATCAAATTACATAATAATATTTCGTTTTTTATTTCTAAATGAAATTTAATTATTATATATTATATAATAGTTAAAAAAATTTATAAAATTAATATTTACTTATAAAACATAAAAAAATAAAAATTATTATTTAGTTAATATAATTATATATGTTGTTGTTTAAATATTAAATATTAAATTAAAAGTTAAATCATTGTAAAAATTGTTTTTTTACAAATATTTTATTTGAAATAAAATCGTTATCAATAATTAATATAGAAATTATATATTATTTTAAATTAGGGAATTTATAATTTGAATAATATTATAACAAATATTTTCATATAGAGGCGCTATATATATATTTCTTCATTTTGTTCACTGTGTTTCTCATCTAAATTATGTGCATGATACGTTTAGTCAGAAGCCGTCAGCTGTTGTGTCAAGTGAACATTCTTAACCAACAAAATAAGTGAAACTTATCAATAGTGTGTGATTATAATAATAGTGAATCTATTATTAGTTGCTAAAGATATTATAGACTTGAAAGTATCAGTTAACAGAAATCAGGTACGTTATAGTACGTTTTGGTTAGCTTAACTTCAGTTGGTATTTGCTCGTGGACTTTCCACACCTGTATTAATGCTAGTCATCTATGTGTAAGGTTTCTCAGTACTCGACTCAAACGTGTTTTTGTGCTCTTTTTTCAGTTGGCTTATATATTCATTAATTAATTAAAATTTAATAATATTTTCAAATGAGAAGAAACAACTTTAATGAAACATATATATGTATATATACGTATATAGTATGTACATATATACGTATAATATATAATATACATGTATTTATATAATGTACATGTAAATTTAAGCTATTGCAAATGGCGATTATTTTGCATCCCTTACAAAATTGACATTTGCATTAATTATAATTATATTTATATTTATAAAAAGATTATTATTTTATCAACTTACAAGTACATCGGGTGAAGTGAGGTAAAATATAATATTATAAAAATTTGCATTAAATGTTTTTCATACCTCGTAATTGTTTTATAAACACAATTTTGGAATTAATCGATTTACTAATTTAGATTTTCAATATATTATTTTCTTCAATGCTATGTGAATTAGAACTAATTTGGATATTTGGATTCCTACAATTCGGTAAAAGAAATAACTAGATATAATCATATAATATTATGATATTTGACTTATGTATAAAAGATGAATAGAATAATCTTTTATATTACAATATTTCATGTTACATATTAAAAATTTCAAAATATTGAATATTTATACTCTTCATAAGTGTAAAAAAATCACAATTGATAATAACCGTTGTGACAAATTGTAATTTTTTTTTTTAGTTTAAGTAGTAAAATATATATATAAAAAATCGAATATAATTTATGAAAAAATAATAAATTTATATGAATTATAAATTATTATGTCAAATAATAATATATAAAAATTTTATATATTTTGTAATGAATTTCATATGACGGACATATACGCACGCATATATTCGTTATTATTACTATTAAATATTTATTTATTATTACTAATAAATAATTTATAATCTAAAAAAGATTTATTTTAAAATTAATTTTATGATATTATTGGGAAAGATTAATCATAAGAACTTGTTTTTTTGTTTAAATACGATCAATATAATTATATATAATATAATTTATAATGGATATTTATAATGAAAAAAATAATCGCTTGTAATCGATAATTTATAAATTATATTTTTTATATTTTTTAATTATATTTTTAATGTTTATGTTTATATTTATATTATAATATAAATTAGATAATAATATATAAGTAACTTATATATTATATCTTATCATTTAATATATTACTTTTAGTTTCTGTATAATATATAATAATTGTAAATAGTAAATTGTAGAGAATTGATATATGTTAAATTAGTTTGAAAATTCTAATTCTAATTTTTTTTTTATGTGATTTAATATAGATTGAATTGACTTATCCTTGTGAAACAGAGAATGAGACAGTAACTTGTAATATTACTCAGGATGTTTAAAGAAAATGATAGCAGTTCTGGAGGCTGTAGTAGCACAGCTCCTCGACCACGAAGAATGTTAGCACGATTTTCTTTACGCCGATTATTATATTCGAGTCCACTTATTGGTCGTCGAATTGTGAGGACACCTAGTTCAAACAACAGGAATGTAAAAAGTAATAAATAATACTTAATTTGAGGTAAATATAAAATAATTTTTTTTTTGAATCTCAATTATTTTTTAGCAAAAGATCCTGGTGGCAAGATTGCTGACGTTGAAAAAGGAGAAGCCAGAGTAAGTAATGGTTCGAGCCATTTTCAATTTCAGAACATAGATCTACAATGTGCTTCCAGCAAAGGTTCTGTACTTTCTTCTGCCGGAAAGGTATTTATAGAATATATATCTGTGATGAAACTTCATAAAAATACAAATTATATTAAATAATTGATAATTTGAGATGATATTTAGATTGTAAAATAAGTTTTATTTTAGAGTAATGAAAATGGTTTAATGGAGTGTCCTTTATGTTTGGCTGAATTACCAATGGAATTTTTTCCTGTTGTTCAGTCTTGTCACCATCGCAGTTGTTATGACTGTTATCAACAATATCTTAAAGTAGAAATTTCTGAATCTAGAGTTAATATAGCATGTCCTGAATGTTCAGAGCCACTTCATCCAAATGGTAAATAAAGATTTTAATAAAGAGAATTTAATTTTTATTATTATCGATATTTTTATTGAATTTATTGTTTTATAGACATTCGAATGATTTTAAATGACCAAACGCAATTGGAGAAATATGAAGATTTTATGGTACGACGAGTTCTTGCTGTAGAACCTGATGCGAGATGGTGTCCTGCACCAGATTGTAGCTTTGCCGTTATTGCTAGTGGTTGTGCTTCATGTCCGAAGTTACGTTGTGAGCGACCAGGATGTGATTCTTATTTTTGTTATCATTGTAAAGCACGTTGGCATCCTAATCAGACATGTGATGCTGCTAGAGCTCAACGTACTCAATATTATGAACGCAGTTCATCTCTCAGTTTTAGTCAAAGTGATTCACAGCATAGTATGTATTATTTATAAAAATTATTAAAATTAATATTATACTAAAAATTATTAATATAATATATGAAAGATATAAATATTTTAAAAAATTTATTTATTTTAAATAAATAATCTTAAAATATATTTTTAAAAAAATTATATTTACAGAAGATGATGTTAAACCATGTCCAAGATGTCAAGTGCTTATTGTTAAAATGGATGATGGAAGTTGCAATCATATGGTTTGTGCTGTTTGTGGTGCAGAATTCTGTTGGTTATGTATGAAAGAAATCAGTGATCTTCATTATCTAAGGTATAACATATTTATTATTATATGAAATCTTATTTCAATAATTTTTTATTTTATATATTTTATATTACAGTCCATCTGGTTGTACCTTTTGGGGTAAAAAGCCATGGTCTAGAAAAAAGAAAATACTTTGGCAACTTGGAACTTTAGTAGGAGCTCCAGTTGGAATTGGTCTTGCTGCTGGTATAGCTGTACCTGCTATGATTATAGGTTTGTAAGCTACAAATCATTTTCATATATTAATGCTAATCTAAATATTATTTATTTGTAAATATATCTTTGAGAAAAAAATTTGTTGTTGAACTATTTTGTTTTTGAAAAAAATTATGCACGTATATGTATATATATGTGCATGATACATGCGCGCGCGCATGTGTATGTATACATATATATATATATATATATTTAATTAATTACAGGTATTCCAGTATGGGTAGGAAAAGAACTATATACAAGATATGAGAAAGATAACAAACATAAGAGGAATGCTTTTATTGTTGGAGGAGTAACTGCATCTGTAAGTTAAAATTTTTTTTTATTCATATCTATATAAAATTTATTGAATTTTAAAGTGAATATTTTTTTATAAATTATATATTGTCATGTATGTTAGATGAATAATATCTTAAAGTAATATTAATATGATTTTAAAAATATTAATAATGGAATCATTTAGGAATCATGAAAATCATTCATTCAATCATTCAAATTCATGACAACATCAAAGTATTATTTATTTATATAGTTTGTACAAAGAAATGGAATAATATAATTATTGCGTATATGAATTACAAGTAACAAAACATCGGTCGTATAGCCGTTTTAGTTTAGTTTGCGGGAAGAAATTTCGTTAAAAAAACTTCAAATTTAAATTAAATAAGTATTATATTTAACTAATTTAAGAAGAAGAATATTATTCTCGACTTAAATTATTTTTTATGGCACGTATTGTTAGCAATGTTCTCTTACATTTTGAGTCGTTTGTATTTTTAAAATTTCATATAATGTTTATTATGTATGTGGTATTTTGTTTATTTAATTTTCTTACTAAATTGTAGGTGTATATATCGCAAGAACAATCCAATATTGAAATGTTTTCAAACATAAGAATCTAACATCAATTCTATTTTCATCACGTCAATGAATTTTAACGTGACCGATTCCACAATTACATAATTATCAACACAAGCTTTTTTCGCTTGAAATGAATCACGTTATTCGTAATTATAACGTTAATTATAGACGGATCGAGTTCTTGAACGATCAGTTCCATAACTTTTTCTTTTCCGATTTACATTTCGCATAGAAATATTAATTTGCTGCAGCACTATCATAGGCGGTAATAACGCTGACTAAGGATCATTTTCGCTATTGGCAATTATAGTCTCGTCTGTAAGTACACCTTCATTATGAAGGTCTTTTAAAACATCGATCAAGCGCTGTTCAGTATCTGCATCTCCTAGAGCAACATCTACGGATCCAATACATAATAGGAGAGCGAGAAGTTGCGATCGTCTATAATCCTTATTTAAATCTTCTCTTGTATAGCCTAAATCTTTGGGAATGTCGACACCAAGACGAGAACACGTGCCAGTTAGCGCATCCCAATAAATATCAAGGAAAGTTTCCGTATGCTTTCGACGTAGTTCGGTTGGCAATGAACTTACTAATAACAGAGCAATGTCGTTAGTCGGTCTACTATAAGTAACCATTTGCCAATCTAGGATACAACATTCGAAACCAGAGGGTCCTTCCTTGAAAAGTAAATTATTACACCAAAAGTCTGTATGCGTGATCAACGCTAGCGGGCCTTCTGGTGCAAGAAGTGCAGATATTATATGTTTAGTCCTAGGTCTTAGAATAACTAAGGCCTCAAGTATCGCTTCCAATCCTGGTGTACTTTTCAAAAATTTGGCAAGTTGCGGTAAACCACGTTCAACCAATTGTTGATACGAATTTGTTGCTTTTGCTGTTTGGAAGAGAAATGGATAACGTTCTGACAGAGGCTCTCCTTCTACAACTTTCATTGCCAGAGAGTGTGCATGTATACGTGCTATAGCTTCTAATGCAATTTTAGTTTGATCGTATGTCATTCCTTCACGAAATTTAATATTTCGAAAATCAGAATCACGAAGGTCTTGTAATACCAAAATTGATTCTGGTTTTGTGGGCTTATCGCCTGATTCATCAGCTGGTGTATAATCTGCGAAATAGCATACTGGAACTGACAGAAGAATTTCGATGTCCGATTTATTTCCTTGAGATGCTAGTTGTTTCTTTTGAAATTCTTTTAGGTCGGGCATTACCTAGTGTAAACAAAATACAAATTATTATTTATTAGATAAAATAATTAAATATTGATATAACAATAACACAATAACATATATAGCGCATCCTTTAGCATCCGCTTCTATTATTCTTGGAAATGAGATTTCGAAGCTTCAAATATGTCAAATATTTGATAAACTGTTGAACGAATTTCACACCCGTCTTCTTTTTCACTTAAATTCGCAAATCACTTATTTAAATGAACATCTGAATTCGATGCTATCGGATGCTAAAACGAGCACTGCTATATTAATTGGTCGCTTACCTGTGTATAAAATTTAATTTCCCGAAGATCGAATTGGCCTTCGATAACAAAAAAACGATTTATCGGATCTCTTGGAAGCTCTTTCACGATTACGGACAAATCTTGCGTAGTATTCGTGTCGTTCAACATATACTTGATTTTAAGACGCATAATATCACTCAGCGCGCTTTCATTACTCGTACAGCCGGGACTTACATTACATTCGCTTATTGTGACCTGTGTATATGATGGGTTAATTTTCAAGCAATTCAAGAATATTTGATACGCTACAAATCTTTTAATTGGGTTACATTTTCATTGCTAATAAAGCATAGGCCGTTTAAATTGATGTCGTACAAAAATCCTTACAGACAACTGTTAGCTGTAAATCATAGCTTATATACCGAAAAACTAACCGGTTCTTTGTGAAATTCCTTTAGAACACCACCGAGCCACTCCTTGTTAAATTCTATCTGATTCTGCTCCTCTCCGCAGGAAGATTCTTCTGTATCTTCCCAATCCCAATCGGTGTCTTCCCAATCCCAATTCGCCATGGTTTCGTTTCTTCTGTCTGTCTTTCTCTCTCTCTCTTTCTCTCGCTCTCTCTCTGTCTCTGTCTCTTTTCCTCCTCTCTTTTTCTTTCCTTTGTTTATTCTATTAGTTTAATGACGGTTAACAACCATGATATCAATGATGGCCGTGTTGAAAGGAAACGGGGGAAAAAAAACAGATGAGAGAGAGAGAGAGAGAGAGAGAGAGAGAGAGAGAGAGAAAGTGTATGTGTATCGTGTTTGTGACGTTTTGCGTGTCTATTGTCCCCAATCAATGCCAATAAACGACATATACACTCCTATGAACGATACACATGCAAAACGTCCGCCTATTTGACTGTTCACATCTGAGCTTGTCGTGTGTAAGTGTGCGAAGACTTGGTGAAATCACTAATAAAACGAATGGATTCGTCGCGTGTCCCTTCTACTTCCTGTTACGCCGACCGGTCCTTGAACGTTCGGGCCGGCGTAGTTCGATGTTTTCTCATCGGGGCTCACAGTGTCCACAGCACGACACACCCTTGGCGCAGAGCACCAACCGACTTCCCCAACGTTCTATTCGTCGGACCGTTTATGATCGTAGCGTAGTGTGGATCTTAAAGTACCGACTGACACGATGCACGTTCCATCGTCAGCCACCTAGGTGGATGCAGGCCGCAGGGTGGGACAAAGAGAGGATTTCCCATGCGCGCACTCCTACCGTCGATCAATATCCTTCCTTCCGCACCTCCCGCACCTTCTGCCCACCATGCACTTTCTCTGTCTCCTCTTTCGCTGTCTCACGTTCCTTTCTACGCTTGATGGAAATCTAGAAAACGGATCGCCGTGTGCCAGCAATCTTTCAGCTCATCATGACAAGTTTCACGGCTGGCCGAGATATATTTATTTCTACCGCCAACCTCTCCCTTCGATTTTGCTTGATATTTTTGTTTTGCTGCTTTCGTTTCCTTTTTTGGACGCGTTGAAGACTGTTCTAGAAGTTGTCGCATTTTCAAATTGATACGCGTATAATTATTTAAACAAAAAAGAAAAAAAAATCGCCAAGTCGAAGTAATTATTAAGACATTGCATATTTTAAATAATTTAATTGAATATATTAAATATCTAAAAAATTTTCTTAATTACTACGTTTTTCTTTCTGAAAAGAATTCATTTTAAAGAAAAAATATATAGCTTTTTAATTTCATTATACATTCCTCAACATGGAATTACGATGGCGAATTATAATAGAAAATTTGCAATATTTTTATTATTAATTGTTTCCCGTTTCAATATATATTATTATTTACTTACTTTGTCATTATTTTTGAATTGATGAATGATTGAATAATAAATATAAATGATAATATAAATTTCTTTAAAATTTGAATTTTTGTAAGATTATAATAAAAATATTGTTCCTAATTTAGGATCATCATTACAGGTTTTAGTTTCGCCCATATTAGCTGGATTGGCCGTAGGTATTGGCGTACCAATTTTATTATTTTACGTTTATGGTGTAGTCCCCGTTTCTCTTTGTCGAAGCGGAGGTTGTGGTGTTTCGACAAATGGTACAGGTGTAAGATTTGATTTCGATGACGAAAATGAACTTATGGGTTCTCTGAGTGTTCGCAATGGTGGTGGTAAATATATAATTCAAATTGATTTTAAATTAGTTAGATTAAATGAAAAGAGAGAGAAAAAAACATAATTCTTATTGTCGTAGATGCAGCATCGATTGATGTTGCAAGTCATCGTGGCGGTAATCCTTCGATAGGAGAAGCTTCACTTTCATTAGGTAGTGGTAGTCATTTGGAAAAATTAGGTCGTGAAAACGATCGTGAGAGTGCCAGTAATGTAGCCGTTGCTGGTACTAGCCTTGCAGGAAGTATAGCTTCTAGTGTTCTTCCAGGAGGTCAAAGGTAAAAAATATATATATATTTTTTTCTCATTTATATAATTTGCAATTATTAAAAACGTATATATTTATATCTAAAATTAGATTGGAAGTTCAAGCAGATGTGACATCTACTCAACGCTTCAGTTTGTGTAGTGAAACAGCGTCTGCCGCAACCAGTTTATCAGAGAAATCTGTAAACGCATCTATTGCATTGGATGATGGCGCAGCTTCCACGAGAGCTCTAGCAGGCTCTGTTCTAAATTTTAAAGTATTTGAATTTTTCTTTGTAATATAACAATTAATCTTTTTATCATCATGAAGATTTAAACTTGCTTATTGTTTAGATGGATGGGAGTTCAATTAGCGGTGGCAGAAGTACAGAAGGAGAACAAGGAACAAGCTCTATTGCAGGAGGTCATATGGATTCGGCAGGTCAAGCTACATCTTTGAGTTCTCTCGAAGAAGTAGCACCTGGTTTAGCGAAACGTGCTCGACGCAAGCCAACGTTAGATCGTCAATGCAGTGATTCCAGTAATTGGACTGTTTGTGGAGAAGACGAAAGTTCTGAACGTGTCCGATTCGATGACCATGTTAGTTTCATCGAAGCGGATCAAGAAGGAATTGTTAGCACGTGTGGAGTGAATAATCGAACTTCTGGAAGACGTAAACGTAACAAAGAGATAGAACAAGACACAAGTGGTCAAAAGAGTACAAAGTACGAAAGATAATTTAATTGGTTGAAATTAGAAAATTTGATGATTAATTTTATCGATTATCAATTATAATATTTATTTACTTTCAGCAGAAGTTCTAATGGCGAATCGAAGGCTGACTCGTTGACGGAAGATAATGTATCATGGGAACGGGTTAACGTCGCTGCTTTGAGAAATGTTTTCTTTTATAATTCTACAGCTTCTACAGATCGGGAAAAACGATTATCGGTGATAGAAGAACCATTTCCTGTAATGGTACAGAACAACGGTGCACGTTTCTTGACATCTTCCGACAAAGGATGTAGTATAAATAATGTAGAAGAAGATTTACGCTCTTAAAAGAAAAAAGACTGAGCATTTATGTAATATGTGCGTCCTTTAAATACGAAATACGTAGATAGATGCGTATTCACATATGTGTGTATATATGTATTTAAATGTACACTGCGTGCGTGGATTAATGCCGAATTTACTATATTTATGCACACCATGTATACATGTTATGAATGCAATAGAGGGAACAAATGAAGTCTATCTTTGCATGGCAAAGTACATCGAAGTAAGTAATATGTGCGTTCATATTTTAGAAATGCGTGCGTATAAATATATGTCATGTACGTATGTGTGTATAGCTATATATATACTCACAGGCCTCAAATTTGTTACAAAAAAGTTGCAAATTAATTTAATACAGATTTTTCTTCTATGTCAACGTTTGCCTTTTGGGCATAGGCGAATATTATTATATACGCGGAAAATTTTGTTCTCGTACTCAAAACACAATATTCATAAATAGAAATATCGAATCCTTTAAAATTTTTCTACGATAAAACTCTGCAACAGAATTAAAATTTTCATGCGATATGACATATACGTATAGAATAACTGTATGTAAAACATGAAAAAGTTATAAAGCTTTATGGTTGCATTTTACGCCAAACAACAATTATTATTTTCTTTGTATGATACATTTGTCCATTTCGATCATATTTCCAGCTGTACAAGTATCGTAAAAACCTTTGTATATGAACATTTTTTAAATGTTATCCCTTGATGAAAATATAAAATAATTTATGTATCTGAAGACAATGAATATGTCTTGACAGAGAATGTTACAATGTTTTAGAAGAAGAAATTAAGAATATTATAAAAAAGGTATAGTAGTTTATTATCTTAAGTTTATATTTATTTATTATTAACACCAGTGATTTATATATACTAATTTCAGGTGCTTTGTTAGGCATATCAAAAACTTTGATTTGATTTTCTTGCCGATATATTCATATTGTAATGCTAATGAAAAATGACTAACAATCATAGTAAGGAACATTGTAATCATGTTTTAATAATTTTACGTTTTATTTTACTTTTGATTTCAAGTTCTTAAGAACTTAAACGTGTACATAATTGTGTAAAATTATTATCTCAATATATATATATATTTCTTGTTCGTAAATAATAACTTTGCTAATGTTTATAATAAGCTAATGTCATATCTACGAACGAGAGTTATACGAAAAAAAAAGGAGATAGAAATACGGATTCAAAAATTGTGAAATATGACATAAGCTGCCATATGATCTTTATATATAAATAATAATAGATATGTGTTTTAATTAAATAAAGTATATAATGAACCATATATGCTCTAGATTTACTAGTGCATGGTACGAAATATGTTTCAGTTTATATTTCGATTATATATAAATAGCATATAAATCAGCAAATTTAACATTTAGAAACATTTTTAAAATGTTTGCATTTTTACTAATATTTTTACGTATTTCAAATAATGATTTAAATACATATTTATAAAATATATTTAGCTCTCTCGTTGAACAGTGCAATTTTAACGTATTAATACAAATATCTTAGAAAAATTATAAATATTAGTTTTTTTCAAATTTTTTTAATCATTGTACATTTTATATAAAAATCACAGTAGTACATATTACAAAAATGTATTGTAAACAATTGTTTGTTTTATGATAAATGTAAATTTTTAAATACGACGAAGAAGAAATATTGTAAGTTAATATTTACTAAAATTATAAAAATATTTTTATTATACATAATTTTTGTTTTAGTTTTTCATATTTTTAATATTCAATATTTAACAATTGATTGTATTATGAAATTAAATTTGAATAAATAAATAATCAACCATTTTTATATTGAAATATATTATATTTATATATGTAATAATAAATAGATCTCTATATTGATCTACTTAAAAACAAGGGAGATTTTTTAAATAATTCATCAACTTTTAATTTAAACAATTCACTTTGAATAGGTTCATTTAATTGACACAAAGGATTTTTTACAACATATTCTAAATAAACCTGTAAAAAAATTGATTTTGTTTTTTCTATGTATTTCTGAATAAACTACATAATAATATAGTAATAAAATTATTGTACTCACCTCCCTATATAATTGCTGTAATAATTCCCTAGCATTTTGTGTAACATTATCAGTATTTAATACAAATTTTAATCCAGATGGAGTTTCAAAATAATGTAACGTATATTTACTAGTTTTATAATATAAAAATCCTTCTTTTGGATCTAATGGCGAAATTTTACTTACAAACGACTTTATGGAGAATAACATTCCATACATTAATTTTGCTTCCTAAATTTGTACAAAATATATACTACATTAATATTGTTAATGATACAATAATATATTAATAATAAATACAATAATATAATAAGAAATTTAATTTAAAGAATAATGAAAAAAATTACTTTTATAAGTTTTTACATAAGATATTGTAGTTTAAAAAGGTTAGAAGAATTATATAGTATATATTTAATAATTTTTAAAATAATAATTTTTATATATCCATTCGTACATACCTCTGCTTTTGTGATCCCAGATTTATTTAATCTATTCCATTCTGCATAATATAGCAATGTTCCATTTTTGGAAAATATATATAAATTGTGAATTGTCATAATCTTAATGTATCGTTTTTGGTTTCTTTATTGTTGTCAAAATATTCAATCAATTGTTTATTGATGATTGCATAGCGATATAAGTTTTTTACGAAAGATGGCTCATCAAAATATATATATGTACATTGTTATCAATACATCAATACGTTCACTTCGAACGACGTTTGATTACAGACGAAGATACAACGAACCAAGCAAATATAGATAAGGAAAAGAAATACTGAGAGAAAGACAGAGATAAGGTAAAAATATTGAAATCAGCGTCATCTACAGAATGCCACGAATGTCAACGAAACTGAAATCAAGAATAAGAATTGACTAATAGTGCCATCTCTTGAATACTGATGATATCTTTTTAAAAGTAGGATAAGATAGAGTAAGAATTTAAGATTAGCGCTATCTCTTGAGAATTTTTAGAAAGATGATTCTTTGAAGAGGTACTTCCATTCAAAAGATGGCGCTATTGGTTAATTCTTATTCTATTTCCATCCTTTTTCTATTATTTTCTGTCCTTGTGTATCGAGTTTCATTTGCGGCACTCTAAAGATGGCGCTGATTTCAACATTTTTATCTTATCTCTGTCCTTCTCTCATTATTTCCTTTCCTTCTTCTATATTTGATCCGTAAAACTCTCGCGCTCAAAAGATGGCTTTGATACCTGATCAGTTTTCTTTTTAGTTTTCTAATTCATAGATTAGAAATCTTAATAGATTCTATTCAATTTAATTTTTTTTAAATTTTATATATGCAATATATATTATAATTGCGTATTTATATCAGACATATTTTTAATAGAAATATTTGATTTTTGATATGAATTTTTTATTCGCTGATTGATCGTTAATTTATCACTCTTCGTGGTAAATAATTTTAAACAATTTTTGTATAAATTTATCGATATTGCAATAATAAAGTCAATAATAAATAATAACAGCAATAGAACAAGAAGTAATAATAATCGAAAAATAGAAATAATAACATTTGAACTATTTCAATTATTAACCGATTAAACCGATAATTATTTTCGGAAAATAGATATTCGAATTACCGTGCTAAACATTATTATCAGACATAAAGCGTTGACCAAAATTTGATTTCGATTATCTTTTCGATCACTTTTATTAATATTTTACGATACCGCTATAAATGAGCATCGAGCTCGCTGCATTGTTTTTCGCTCGAAGCTCTCCAATATCAAGCGCGTCATTTGATTTTCCAAATGTTAAAATAGAGTCGAGAGAAAGCTAAAGTCAACCAATCCGGAGGAAAACTTTATCTCGTAATCATGCGATATCTATGCGAACGACGCTATACAAATAAATACAGTGTAAACGGGATCGTAGAATAATAGAGGATAACAAATTATAGATGATATACGTATGTACATAGCCCATTGCGGAAGAGACTGGAAGCCATAAGTGAAGGTTAGAAATACTATCGATTATACTCGTGAAATTGAAATGAAACGAATTTCGTCGAACGATAACAAGATAAATAAGTAATTAACAACATAATATCGGTTATCGATAATTCCTACGATGCACAAATCATTATTCGGATAAACGTATCGCCAATTATTTTATAGATTTTCTCTTCATCCCGGTATTGGCCAATTTCTCTCTCATTCTTTGGTTAGGAAAATTTTCGATACACGTGTAATCACGCTGGTTTACGCGCTCACGCATCTTTGACAAGGGAAAAATGATGTACGATAAAAATATCGCCGCGTGAAACGAGCGATCGTACGCGTTGGTTACTGGAATGATTCGATAACAATGACCCAATGGCTGTAAATCAAACGAACGCATGCAGCGCGCGTTCAACTGGCTGTTTCGAGTGTATCATACGGTTTCAGCTTCCTGCATAAAGGTTTACGTATTCGCGTAATATAATCGGCCATTGGCCAAGCGTTTGAAATAGTAAGTTTAAAACGGTACACGTACAGATCCACGCAGACAAGATTAGTACACTACTGACCGAGGTTATAAGCTTATCAAGTTTGCGCAATAGCATTCCCATTTCTGATTACATTTCTGTTAATTCCATATTCATTCCGGATAATATGCATAGGATCACTTCGATTTATCGCCGTTTATTGATCGCGTGTCTTTCACGTTTATTATTGTTGGTTAGGTCTCGAACTTAACCTATAAACACGTTTCACCGTGCGTCATCACGCGAACATTTTTCGCCCAATTATTACCCACTCGTTCGACTGATAATATGCCCACGAATATTTTTATGTCACGCAAAACACGTTTTCGAGCGTCGTCACGTCGTCGCGAGTTTATTGTCTACGCTTTTTCGCGGGGAAGAAGTGGTTGCGCGCGACGAAATTCGCTCATCTCCTCTCGAGGTCTGAACCATATGGCAGTCGAGCACACAATCACGTCGCAATAAAGCAGCCTACGATAAACTAACGCCGTGTATTGACAGAGAGTACTAGATATATCGCTTTTGTCGACGATATTACGTCGTTGTGAATCGCAATAACAACCACGAGCTTTGGATTTTTATTCGTTTGCCCGTTTGTTTGCATTCTTGTTCGTTCATTTGTTTATTTGTTTGTTTGTTTGTTTGACTGCTCGCTCGCTCGCTCGTTCGCTTATTTGCTTATCGTCCCTCTTCCCTCCCTTCTCCCATCTTTTTAACACGTCCTTTCGAAATTGATCGATCGGTAAAATCGAAACACAAGTTATGCTTCATGAACAATGAAATTTTCACCTTTTTGTTGCTTATATCGTAATTTCATCGAACCTGAGGGTTATTATTTTATTCTTATTTGTGAAAACGATAGTTTCATGTCACGTCAGGATTAAACAACGAACTTAACGTTGCTTCTTTCATTTGGTAGATCGTATCTTGGAATCGTGTTGCGTTAAAGAAACCAGATTAAACTGTAAGTCGAAGTCAGTCTTCCTTCTTTTATTTGTCGACTAACTTTCTGTTGTTGATCGAGCTGTTCGAGCTTTATTAAACCCTTTCTCCTTAGATACGCTACTCGAAAGTAATTGCAATTTATACAATTTTGGTGTTTTTATAGAGGTAAACTAAGAAATCAGAGAATTACATTTTGTTATCGCGTTCTCTTATTTTTTTTCTTTTTTTTTTTCTTTCTTTTTTCTTTCTTTTTTTTCTTTAATTGCAATTTATACAATTTTGGTGTTTTTATAGAGGTAAACTAAGAAATCAGAGAATTATATTTTGTTATCGCGTCCTCTTATTTTTTTTCTTTTCTTTTTTTTTTTTTTCTTCTGATCTGAGAAATTAAGGAAGGAAATATGTAACGATGACAAATGAAGGTTTCATTAACCGTCTGGTAAAGAGGATTTTCCTGTTCAAATTTTATAATGATATAATCTTTTCCAACACGTAAACATAATTAATATTTTTTATAAAATTAGATGTTGAGATATTAAGAATTTTTGCAATCATTCAAAATTCTTATCGATTTCTACGGAAATTTTAAAGAGATAACTTGTACAACGATATTGTTGCGTTTCATTAAAAAAACGATTCATCATAATCATCGTTCATAAGTTTATTCGTAAACGTATTTTTACAACAATTTATATTTATATCGTTTAGAGTATAAAGTATGAAAATGTAATAAAGTATAAAAATTTCTCCTCAAAATGCTTCCCTTCAAAACTTTGAACGTTATATTCTCCTATTACAGAAGGTCTATACAGATCTTTCGTTGATGAAATAGATTTTTGCATAACAAATTTTAAATAACAAGTATTCCGAAGATTACAAATTGTATCATAAATAGCTTTTACATTATATATAGACATCGTTGTAGAATATTCTTAGTGGCAATGCATAACGAAAATAGAACGTTATAAATTTGTATGTAGGGCGGAATGAAGTCGAAAATAACTCGTTTAAAAAATTCAAAAATTATCATGCACCATAATAGGTAATCTTGCCACGACGTGCACGACTGGAAATTAAAATTCACAATGATTTTAACAATATGGAATTAAGTAATAGATTCGAGTTTCTTTCGATCTCCCTAGTTTTACGTATTTTCTATGCATAATTTTCTATATAACCAATTTCTTCTCTCTTCTGTTTCACGAAATTTTATACACGCGATATTGGCCACGTGGATTAATCTTCCATTTAGAGATATCAATATACGGTTGCATAATTCGTGAAAGTCAAATCTTTGTATCAAAGCGTAAACCACAATTTTTGTTTGACGATCGGCGGAAATAGAGGTGGTCTCGTATTTGCTGTCGGGTAAAACAAGTTTGCAACTCGATGGAACAGATTTGTTCAAAACCTGTCCCCCTTCTCTCGCGAGACGCTGTTGCGCGATCGAACAGATAGGGAGATCATCTTCTCCCGTTTCTTTCACCGGATATGGAATTCTTCTTTTTCTTTTTTTTTTTTTTTTTTCTTTTTTTTTTTCCTCTCGTAGCCAAAGTTTTGCCGCGATAAAATGGCATGCCACTTCTCCCATTCTCGACATTCTTTCATCTTGTGAATTCAACTTTTGGAACTTCAAGTAGCTGCCATTCATCCTTGTAAAACCGTAAATAGTTTGGAAAATTACGCATTCGCCACTGTTTTTTGAAATTAGCGAGAAGCCAAGCGAGAAATTGAATCGTGCAATTTTTCTCGTGGTTAATAAATCGCTGATATGAAAAAAAAAAAAAAAAAAAAAAAGAAAAAAGTAGTTGACCGATGAAAAATATTTCTGTTATAATATCGATAATACCGTCGTTGATACCATCAAAATGATTAAGATTATCATCGTATCGTATCGTTTTAATCACATAAATCTTGAAAAAGTATGACGTACAAATATTAAAGTAGCTTCTGATACTTTAATGTATTTTTTTTTAAATTTATTTTTTTAATTTAATTTAATAATTTAAATTTATTTTTTTAATTTATTTTTTTTTAAATTTAAAAAAAAAAAGAAAAGAATATCGAAATAATTCTTTCATCAAACGTCCATTCCAAATACGGAATATAAATAAAGATCTTTCTAACATTTTCCCTCTCGCTTTGCACCTCGTCTCGAACGAAGAAATTTCACAAAAAATTTCGAGCCAATTATATTTATCTTTATATCTAATCGAAAATACGATTACATAAAACACAACGTGAAAATACGCGCGCACCTCTTCTTCCTCTTCGAAAGCGAAAGATTTCCGAATCGATTTGTTAAACACCGGATACACGCGAATTCGATTCGCGTATCGCGACACCGCGTCGCTTTATCACGTCGACCCGGTAGCTCGATCGTATCGCCGCGAACGGGAGCTGTCCAAACATTCCCGTCACGCTTTTATCGCGCGACGCTCGAACGTGAACGCTGTGCTCCGCCGATTCCTCGTGAGCGCGGTTCAATAACTTTCGGATCGCGCGCCACGATATCGACGTTTGGACGGGAATTCGAAAAAAAAAAAGAAAGAAAAAAAAGAAAAGAAAAAAAGGAAGGAGGCGAAAAGGTGACGAGGCAAACCCGACTTTTAAACACCGCCTCTTTTAAACACTCGTTGGAACGGAGGGGGAAGGGGTGGGGATGTCAGAAGCGAGATGGAGACACATGTGTCGCGAGCTCGATGGTTTTGTAATGCGATGCTACTACGAGATGGTATCCACTTGTTCGATAATGTTGTTTTGTCGATTATCTCGATATCTCGCGTTATATAGTCGTTTAATCGACGCGGAGATAGGTCAGAACGCGACGAGGCATCTATCGGTCACACCGCCTCGCGATATTTTCGTTTTCGCGCCGGGTTCCATCGCCGCCATGACGGAGGCCAAGGAGAAAACATGGAAGGTAAGGGCTGTCGTCTCGCTTTCGTCGTCTCGAGCTCGAGTGAGAAAGAGGGAGAAAGAGAGAGAGAGAGGTAGAGAGAGAAAGTCGTTCCTCGTTCGAGAATGGGCTGTCAGATGTCGTGGACGTAGATGGCCGTTCCCATTGGGACATTCCCAATGTCCGCGTTACGGGATATATTCACTTGGAAATTCTGTTCACTAGTACACCCGGATCAAGGGATCGATGGTAGGAAACGTGGCTCGCGAAACGAGATCGAGTACGAGTCGTAAAAAATAGGGAGGCCCGTTGGACGAAACAATGCCGCATCTGACGAATGAAATCGCGTACGTACGAAGTAGCTTATCTTAGATGAGTAATAGAAAGAAACGTTCTAATTCAAGAAATTCTACCGTAAAGTAATTCTACGTAGAAAGATGTATATCGTTCTTTTCTTTCTTTCTTTCTTTCTTTCTTTCTTTCTTTCTTTCCATCGATGCATAAAGTCTCGCTCGATAGAAGATATCGCGGCGTAAAGGCTTCGTCCTAAGTGGGGTAATATAACCGAGTTCGCGTGCGTCTTGACGCGCCGACAAAACAACGGGATCGACTATGCGCGGCGGAAAAGAACAGCGTTTCGTCCGATCTTATCTGTTCCTGGTTTACCGCGCGAATAGATTAAACTGTAGCGATGCTCGTGCCATTACGCGGGCGATGCTCCACATCGAATAAATTATACTCGATTAAATTACCCGATTAACCCCTTATTTTTCCCTACGCCTTTTTTAAGGGCCGCGCTTCTTTCTCTCTTTCTCTCTCTCTCTCTCTCTCTCTCTCTTTCTCTCCCTCTGTTTCTTTCTCTCCCTCCAAATTCGTCGTCCGTCGCCGATGATTTATACGATGCAAATATAAGGTAACCCGTGTTATTGGCAGAGGAAGAGGGTTTCTCTCGGAGTCGGCGGTGCCTTGGTGGAGCTGGAGCAGGATCCCGAACGTGGTAGCTGGGCCAATCCCATCGAGTTTGTTCTATCCTGCATCGGGTATGCCGTTGGCATTGGCAATGTTTGGCGTTTCCCTTACCTTGTATATCGTAATGGCGGTGGTACGTATGTATATGTACATATATATACATATATATGTATATACGTATATACGTATGGTACGGATGGCGCGTAGCCTAGCGCACAGCGGAGCTTGCTTGTACGGAGCGATTTTTCCATGCGGGGGAAAAAAGGTCTGCTCGTGCTGCTCTCTAAACAGAGACGGTCACGGGCTGGCAAACGAACTACTGGATTACGCGGGATGATTTATCCTTGTACCCGCTCGTTTTCGCGGAAAAAGAACAAATCTGGGAAGAGGGGGGAAGGAGGGGAACGGAGCGGAGGTGGAGGGAAAAGAGGGAAGCGCGGAGTCGCTCGCGCGACACGCTACCCGCGTACGTGCGTGGTGGTTGACGTGACGAAGCGGCTAATTCGAATAATTAAGCGTAGTTTGGCAGCTCGTGACCGAGCGTTCGGCAAATTTAATAAATCTTTCCCGACCGTGTGCGCGCGCGTTTGTGCCTGTTGATATAATCTCTCTCTCTCTCTCTCTCTCTCTCTCTCTCTCTCTCTCTCTCTCTCTCTCTCTCTTCCTCCTCCCTGTTTCCTCTCGCTCGACTCTAGGCCGGGTTTATTTGCAAAATGCCGAGAGAGAGAAAGGTTGGCCCACCGTATTATATATATATATATATCCCAAACACTTGGGTTTTAATTATTCTATTTTCCACTCCATTCTCGTCGTTTTGTTCTTTTAGTTTCGTTTACGTGGCCCTTGCCTCTCTTCATTGTTCTTCGCCTGTGGTCTGAACGAAAGACGACCAAAGGGAGTATCGCCACCCGGCTGCCCGCTATTTTTAACCTTTCTCTCTTCCGTGGAATGTATTTTGTCGCGTTAATCAGAGCGCCGGGGAAACGATAACACTTTTAATTAGTATTCGTTCGAACCGCACGATAAATTCACTTCATTTTCTCGCGCGTATATGTGTATATATATATATATATATATATATATGTATATACATTTATCCGTTTGTTTCGTCACTCGATAGCGAGCGTGAAACGGGACATTGATCGAAGTCAAGAATACCCCGTTTTAATTGGGGAAGATAATTTCAATTGAACACGTTTTTAACATCGTCGTCTCGTTTCTTTCGTTGGTTAGATTAGACAAGCGAGTTTGCCAACGGTTGATAACGTTAACAGGAACGCGCGTGAAAAATTAAAGCTGTTAAATTATAGAACGAATATGATTCGTTCCTCTCCCTGTTTTTTTTCTTTTTTCTTTTTTTTTTTTTTTTTTTACTACGCTCTTCTCGCTTCACACGCGAACATATAAACAATACGAAGCGCGAATTAAAAGTAAACGCGACGATGCAAAGGTAAAGATTATTATTTTCAAAACACGTTCGTCGCGTAAATGAAAAATTATTATACGATGCAACAAATTCATTCCCCTCCCCCTTCCCCCATTTTATCGTTCAAACTTTCTTTCGCTTTTCCCGATCGAAATAAACTATTACGTGCGACACACACGTATAATAATCCTTTCCTACCGCCCCTCCCCCCCCACGCTACAGTTTTCCCGCTATAGATTATCAAAGTACGCCTAGTCGTGTTGTGGTCTGGTTCCAGGTGCTTTTATAATTCCGTTCGTTTTAATGCTGATAACCATGGGATTACCGATATTTTTTTTGGAACTGGCTGTTGGACAGTATTCCGGACTCGGCCCTAACGAGGCGTTCAAACGTATGGCGCCGGCACTCGAGGGCCTCGGTTATTGCACCCTGGTCGTCATTTTGCTCGTAATGGTCTACTACATGGTGATCGTTGCCTGGACACTCTTCTACACGTTCCTCTCGTTCCTGCCGAAGCTCAGTTGGGCCTACTGCGACAACGATTTCAACACGAACCGTAAGTACACCGATAAAATAACAAACCGGCCATCACCTTCCTCCCGTGTTTAAATTTTAGAAAACGCCCTTCGCCCCCCCCCCTCCCCTCCACCCGCGCGGCTCCCGTTCAACTTGTTATTTAGCGTAACGTAGCGTAACCGCGCCATACGCGTATTTTATCGCCCCCATAAAGCCCCAAGTGGTCGTAGAACCGTTTTAAACGATCGAATGACGAACGGCTCGTTCCTTCGAAATTCAATTTCTCCACGCTCCGCGCGCGGAACACGGAGAAAATATTCTCCTCGCTTCCCTTCCCTTCCCTTCCCTTTCCTTTCCTTCTCTTCTCTTCCCTTTCCTTCGTATCGTTGCGCGCCTCTTTACGTCTCTCCTTTCGTTGCGCTCGTGACGATTTATCGCGATACCAACCATTTTTTCCCCTCCCTCCCATAAACGCTAATAACGATCCTCCAAATTTTACACTCAACCTTTTCTCTTCCCCGCCTTTCGAAAAATTCTTCTTTTTCGCGCGAATCGATCGGTGCTCTGACGATGATCGGACTCCTCGTCGATTCCTCGACGTTCGGTTTCGGATAAACGGGAGGGGGAAGGGGGAGGGAAAATATATCGAAATACAGAAATTTCAACAGCAACGGGTATAATAATATTTGCGCCGAATTATCACTTCCTTCTTCCATTGATTTCCGAAATTATTTCGTGTATACCGTGATAATATAATCCATTACCAGGTATTAAATTCCAACGATACAGAGGGGGAGGAGGGGAGAAAATAAATAAACACACGAGAGGGAGAGGGGAATTAACGATTATGAATTTCGGATTTTCGGAATTGCGAGAACGTAACAACAACAACGATAATAACAACAGAGAACGAGCAGAGAAACGATCAATTTTTACTTACAAACGCGTGATATTATTGAGAATAATATTCCAAAAAAAGAGATATCTAACGATTCATTTTTTTCACGACAATCAAATTGATTTTTTTATCTGTTATTTAATTATCGAACTCGACTCATCGTGTATCAAAAATTTTGTATCCATTTTTTTTCTTCCTTTCTTTTTTCTTTTTTTTTTTTTCCGATCCAAGGTAACGTACTTTTTCAAATGATTTTATTTTTTTCCCCTCCCGAACAATTTCCATTGCATTTAAAAATTTCCATCTCCGAACCACGAAAAATACGAAATTTCCGCCCGTGACTATGACTATTTCTAGAAATAACGATGGGATCGCGATCGGTGGGAAACTAGGATTGATCAAAAAATTTCTCCGCTAAATTGTTTCGACAGTTTTAATTGTTGAACTTTGAATTAAAAACTCTTCTCGGTTCCCGGTTGTGTTATACAATCAAAATTCGAGATGTATCGATACCCGGTATCAACGCTCATTTCCCATTCGTGTACAAATGACGTTTGTTCCACCACTTTGTGAAACCGAATATTTAGAACAGAAGAAATTAATCCTCAAAGTTTCAAAGTATATAAATTATTGCGTTCCTTTGTACTTGTATACACACGCGATACACGCACGTGATTCGTTATTTAAGAGAATGAAAAAAAAAGAAATCTTCTTACGATACAGTAGAACCGAGCCGTTTATTTTTTAATTTATTACAACTTTCATCGGCAGACGACCATCGACGCGACCACTGACCGCCGACCACCTATCATCTACATCAATACAGGTATCGTTGTAAAGAATCCATTTTTATCACGAATGGACGATTCGACACTTTTCCGATCGCATCGAAATAATCGTTTCTATGATTCTTTGACGTGGATTTTTCCACGTAGATTAGTATTCTTCTTTTACTTTTTTTTTCTTTTCCACTTTGTCTAGCTTGTCTGCTTCTGATTTCGTAAATTATCGTGTTTTTTTTTATTTTCTTTATGTAACGCGAAATTTCCACCAAATTGGACGTAATAAATCGCTAATTGAAGAAATTGAGAGAGAGAGAGAGTAACAACAATATCATTGTTTCGAAATGGAAGCACCGCATTGCGGTCAACATTGTCGCGCTATAAATTTGAAATCATTTTATCGTTGTATAGAATGTAGGAAAATGTAAATTATCGTATAGTTTGCTAGGATGTAAAATCATAAAATAATTTAAATTAACGTTCGAATGTAATCGTATAGATATTTCTGATATAATAGACTGAACCACAATTATTTTTCCCATTAACGAACCTTAAGTTTTTCCCGTTTATAAATTTCGCATACGCGCAGCAAAAATTTAACGCGTCTATTATACCGTTAATCGTTCCAAAAACCTTTTTCGAATTATTTTCGTAAATTGCAATTGTAATGCATAAATGGATGACATCCGGAAACTTAGCCGTTAAGATCAATAAAGGTCAATTTATACGGGAATGGTACGGGTTTGGTCACGATCCCAGCCGAATTACAGCTACTGTTTCACTATTACGTATAGAGCCGAAAAGCCTATATATCGACAAGCCTCTCTCGGGTATCGCGTTACGATGTATAATTCCATCCCAAGCTCGACATCGGTGAATCTCGTTGATAACTCGTTGAAAGCTCGTCAAATCTTTGGTTCAAGTCGATTTTCGTTTCGTGCTTGTTTCCCCAATTCGTTTCAGTAATAAACTTCGCCTCAAAATCCTGGAAAACTTATAGAATATTAATTTGGATAGTCGATATATTAATTTTCCAGCACATTCTCTTCGTCTCTACTTCACCATAAGTCGGTAAGTCGTTTACTCGTATTACTCTTTCAACGCGTGTCGTCGAATGAACGATCGTGGTATTCTCTCGACCATCGAGGCTCGAAAACCGAAAATCCCTGCGGTAGAGATAAAATAAATAAATAAATAAATTGCTCTTTAATAATAAATACGGAGGAGAGGAACAAAGCGGTAGCGTAATTGTCTCTGGTCGATCGAGGTAACGAAGTAGCAGCGTGGATATACTACACGCGTATATACATAGGTGTGCGTCCGCGGGTATGTGTACGTGTATATGTGTATATACGCGTATATATCGAGGTCGCAATATCGAGCCATACGTTGGGTCCCTACGACGCATCGTATTCTGTAAACGACAGCTATTTCGTTTCAATCAGCGATAGCCTTTGAAAGCCTTTGATGTTTCCTAATTATCGTACAACGATATTGGATATGGGGCATAAAGCCGTAATGCCGACTCGCGTAGATTGTTACAGCGGGCTTCAAGAGATTCAATGTCAAACGGACGATCCGGAAACGATATTTTACAACAAGAGTTGTATATCGGCCAGCCACGTATGCCGGAGCTTCGATTTCGAGGATGGAAACATCACGCATTGTTTCAAAGCTGGCAAAGTGGAACTCCTTCGAAACCTTTACACACGGATCCTTTCGTCGGAGGAATATTTCAAGTATGTCGTCGTATATTCTATCTAATATAATCGTAATGAATTTTGAACGTTCCAAACTATTCTTTCTCGTTTATACACGTTTATGTGTTTCGCGTCTCTACGTGTATAACCTTAAATTCGTTTTTCGTTCGGTCTAGTGAAAATTGCTAATACTTAAGAAAAAAAAAAAATGTGTAATAGATATTATCGAATCTAGCGACTACGTGCTTGGTATACGAGGAGCTACGTGGGAACACTTCGGAGGCGTGAGATGGGAATTGTTAGGATGTCTGACCCTCGCTTGGATAATCTGCTTCTTGTGTTTGATGCGTGGCGTCCAATCCATTGGAAAAATCGTCTACTTCACCGCTCTTTTCCCCTACGCCATGCTTATAGCGTTGTTGATACGAGGTAAGAACGAATACCGATAAAATAATATTTCTCGTCGAATTACACGCGATATAATTTTTTTTTCTTTTAACCTCGAATCAAAAAAGAGAGATCCGCGAAAAAAATTATTCGATTTGTTCGAAATAACGAAGAAGAGGAATAAACGTATATATATAGTTATAAAAATAATAACGGAACGGAAACGTGTAATCACAGTTTGGAATAATACAAACGATTATTTGGAAACGTGTTATTAATTTATAAATCGTTGGAAAACAGTTGTTCTTCAATTATCGGACATATTCATTAAGCGCGTAATAAATAACTATTCGACGAATCGGAATATTACAGTCGATGAATTGTCATTGAATTAAAAATATATTAATTGTTAACGTACGGGAGCGATGCGACGAACGATATCACGTATTTCCCGTATACGCGAAGATTTATAATTAAAATTCTTCGACACGATAATTGACAATTTATGAATATTAAAAATACGTTGATAACGTTAAACGAGATATATATTTTCACACGGCATTAAACTTGCAACGCTAAATTAAAAATCAAAGTTAGAAGACTTTTCGGTATTATATCCCGCCGTTGTATCGAAACAACGGTAAATAGATGTGGAATTCGCAAATTAACGATCGATCAATAAATATTAATTAGCGTGACTCCCGCTAACGCGAAAACTAATGTTAACGTTCGCGGAATCGAATTCGTCGCGAATTCGTTATCTATCCCATTATTTACGTCGAATTTTAATTAATTCCTCTCTCGACTTTGCGAAATTCGCTGCTCGTCCTTACGAGCGAATAAAAACTGTATATATATATATATATATATATACTCATCCAGTGAAAGATGTGCCGCGAAGAAAAAAAGAAAAGGGGCGTTGAAATTAATCGCGTATTTACATTTGTTATCTTGGTTATCGTAAAAGAAAAAAAAGAAAGAAAAAGAAAAAAAGAAAAAAACCGAGTAAATAAGTTAAACATCTATCTCGCCTATCTCTCTCGCGTCCTGTAATGTAAAATTCATTACTCGCTTCTCTGGTATTTCTGGCGTGCACTCAATATTCAACTTCTAACTTTATAAAGCATTTACTCGTAAAACTTTGTACACATACGACATTTTTTTTTTCCCTTATTTCAACTTTAAAATTATAACGCTTCGAAATATTAAAAATTATATATATATATATATATTGTGCATATCGTTTAAACGTATATACGAAGATTATCGAGGTTAAATATTATAGAGGCAAGATTGTATTATACAATGCGACAAGTGTCCTGCGACCGAGGCGATCCTATTTCCCTTACGTTTTTCATTTTCATATTCGTATTAACGTTTTTCTCGTGTCTCGAATTTATCGAATTCATATATAAAGAATTGCACGGATCGAAGTAATTTTTTAACGAGTTTTAACGAACGAATAATAATAATAATAATAATAATAATAATAATAATAATAATAATAACAATAACAATAACAATAATAATAATAATAATAATAACAATAACAATAATAATAATTACTTGATAATAAAAACAGGTGTTACGTTGGAAGGTGCCCTCGATGGCTCTCTTTGGTTCATCATGCCAAAATGGTCCACCTTGCAATCCACCAGTGTCTGGGCGGATGCTGCTTCCCAAGTTTTCTATTCCCTCGGTATCGGTTGCGGTTCCCTGATCACCCTCTCGAGCTACAGTAACTTCAACAATAATTGTCACAGGTACAAAAAAAAAAAAACCCCGTAAACATCACAAATCCTTAGATAGAGAGAAAAATTCGATCAGGATGGCATCCATATCGAATCACATACCAACCCGATAAAAAAAAAAATTGCAAGGCCGTCCAATTAAAATCTTCCGCCCAATATAACGTATCCGCTTAAAATACATACGTAGCATTTTTCGTTCTCGGCTCGAACTTTCGAACTTCGAGCATCGACGATGCTCCCTGCTTCCTCCCGAATATTCCCGAAAATTAACGTCGCAAAAGGGGTGGGGGGGAGGAGGGGAGGGGGGGGGGGAAACGAAGAGAACGAAAGGCGAACGAATTTCGAGATATCCGCTCGGAGAGACCAAGCTTTCCGACACCTGGGGATGGAATAATTGGTGGACTGGCGTCGTGGAAGTCGTCCGTCCGCGCGCTGTTATTTCATTGCCGATCGCGAGAAGGTGGATCGAGGGGCGCGTATAACCTCCACGGTTGCTCGCAGTTAGGTCGGTTCACGTGCTCGAAATATCGCGGAAAGTCGTAATTAGCATGATTATCCGGCGTTGAACTTGGCTTGGCGAGAAGGCAGATACAATTCGTTGCACGTTGCATCGCGCGCGTATAAATTATATCAGCGCGACGCAAGTCGAATGAGCAAGCAGCGGTGGAATATAACTTGCCACGCCAACTTTTACCCGCGCGATTATTAATTGCTCCTCCTTCCCTTCCCTCCTTCCCTCCGTTCCTCCCATCTTCGTTTATATATATATATATATATATCCCCTTTCCACGCGGATCTTGGAAATTGAGGAGTCCACTCGGCTCGAAATCGTGGCTCCCCCTCCCCCTCGGCTTCGATCGCATAACGTTCGATGGTTTTATCGTTTCGAACGAAAATATAGGGTTTCGTCTCATGCGGGCGGCTCGATAGGGATGAATTCGCGAGTCCTTTTTTTTCGTGAACGAAAAAACAAAAGCGAAAGGGATTGTCGAGCTTTTTGGGTGTTTTCCTTTTTTTTTTTTTTTTTTTCCCTTTTTTTTTTTTCTTTTCTTTTTTCCCCTCTCTTTCATTCATTTTTTTAGAGACGCGATATTCGTAACTTTCACGAACTTAGCCACGTCGATTTTCGCCGGCCTCGTCATCTTCTCGATCATGGGATTCCTCGCCCGTCAAATGGGGGTTTCGGTCGAGGATGTGATACAGAGCGGAGCGGGGCTTGCATTCATCGCGTATCCGGAAGCGGTGGTGCGGATGCCGTTGCCCAACGTGTGGGCCGTCCTGTTCTTCGTCATGCTGTTCATCCTGGGTATCGGGAGCCAAGTAAGTGAAAACGATTGATAAACGATGGAATAATGGGAAGAGTCAGAGGAGTCAAGGATCGGCGTTTATGAACGGAGATTATAATAATCGAAGCGAGTGCTCTTTTCTTCTTCTTTTCTTTCTTTCTTTTTTTTTTTTTTTTTTTAAAGAATTTCTTTTAAAAGAATGGAGAAGCGGTTTTTAAAGTTAAAGAGAGCGGAGAGAGAGAGAGAGAGAGGGAGGGAAAAGCATGAAAGAGACGAAAAGGAAAAGGGCGCACGGGAGGTAGAGAAGCGTGAAGACTTTTGAAAATGAAGAGCATCGTATTTCCATGTTGTTTAAAGTTTAAAGTATGGCCTTGTTCCTTGGCAAGCGCGCGAGAAGAGGCGGAGGGAAGGAGGGGGGGGGGGGAAAATTTTTCGTCTTACCGAGCCGGCTAAGAAGCCGCTATTCAAGTGGCTCGTAGAACCGGAACGCCAGTCCCTGTATCCGTCAAAAGAGGAGCTGTGCGGCGAAAATGTGCTCCCAAGTAGCCCCGGACGATCGTGCCGTGTTACTTTTGCATCGCGTCTCTCCCTTTCTCTCTCCCTCTCTCTCTCTCCCTCTCTCTCTCTCCCGCCTCGGGGCTCGTATATCATGGAAAGAGTTATGGTTTGCCGTCCCACTGAAATCCACACCTTTCTACTTGTCCTCGCCTCTTTCCTCCCTCTTTTCTCCTTCGAACGAGAGAGCGTGGAAAGGTAAACGAGCGAGGGGATGAAAAAAGGAGAAAAGAAAAAAAAAAAAAAAAAAAGAAAAGCCCCCTTTGTTTTCCACACACGCAACGTGTCCAACCCTCTCTCCCGTATGTCTTTCCTTCTCCTCCTCCTCCTCCTCGCTTTCTAGGGTTGAAGGGTAATTAAGACGGACGGCGTCAAAAAAAGGGAGAGAGAGAGAGAGAGAGAGAGAGAGGAAGAGAGAGAAAGGGAGAAGAAGGAATATAAAAAGAGAAAGGGAGTAACGAGAGAATCGCCGGCGGGCGAGCATCGAATCTCGAGTAACGTAGAGGAGAAGGAGGAGAAGGAGGAAGAGGGGATGGGGGGGGGGGCACGGAGTCGGAGTCGGTCGTTGGTTTTTACGATACGCGCACAGTTCGCAGGCGTGCAGGCGATAAACACCGCCATATTGGACCTGAGGCCGGATTTACGAAAGCGGGAGAGCCTGGTTGTGTTGGGTATATGCGTCACTTGCTGGTTCCTTGCCATACCGATGGTGTTCGACGGCGGTATTTACCTGTTCACGCTGATGGACTGGAACACAGCTTCTTGGGCGATACTATTGATCGGGATTGCCGAGGTCGGCGTTGTAGGCTGGTGTTACGGGTGCAACAAATTCCTGCGTAACATAGCCGAGATGCAAATGCGGTTCAACCTTTCGCTCCGCAGATATTGGTGGCTCAGCTGGGTCGTGCTCGCGCCTATCACTTGTCTGGTAAGTGCAGCAATCCCATCCGTCCTGTATCGTGATTCGATAAACTCGTGTAAACTATGCCCAAGTTATTATTGCCCAACTTATCAGATCCGCCGTATCGATGTCAAACCTGTTCCATAATAGAACAAATAAAGAGAGATGTCGATATTTTATACGCCGCACCGTGTAAACGAGAGCCGATCGTGACGCGTGCCGAGAATATTTTTTTCTTTCACGCGCATGAAGATTCTCTCGCGGGATTGGCTCGCTACATATATCCATATATATACGTGTATATATTTACACCCTCGTTTCTTCCGTAAAATATAATTTTATAGATTCCCACAGCACGAATATATATATGTATATATATATATATATATATGTATATACATTCGTTTTAATATTTTCTAAATGTTTCAACGAAAATTCAATAATGTTTCTCGACTTACCGATATCGATTCCTATCTTGGATTAAATTTCCCAATAGATACGACGTTACGAAATTTCGGCCAACTTTGAAGATAATAAGCTCGATAACTTTGGCATACGTATACCGTAGTATAGCATCGTGTTATATATAAAGCACATTATATACGTGTATCTGTATCTATCGCGATGTCAACGGCCAATTATATCGTGTCCTTGTATCCTTTTTATTTTTTTTCTTTATCTCAGAATAAACTTCCCCTTCTCACGTAAACGATAAACTTAACAAGACCTTCCTTTTCTCTCTCTCTCTCTCTTTTCCAGAAATATGAGATAGAGAGATAGAACGTCTAATTAAACGCGTGCATAATTATACGCGTGCAATTAAGCTTAACCTCTATAAAACTCGGTGGACAATCGTGTACGAATGATCCGAGCGATTAAACAAATCCTGTCCGTGGACACGAAGCTAGTCGCGTTCCGCCTACTCCCCCCCTTTCGTCCTCTTTTCCCGCAGAGTGCAGCGCCTCACACGGTTAAGACGTTAATCCTTTCTCCTTCAGGCGTGTTTTCACTCACGGTATATTATCGCGGTTTTGCCTCTCGGCCCTCGACCGTTTACCGCGACGCTTGTGCCCCATTATTGATTTTTCCGTTTGTTTTAGACTCTTCCTCCTGCTATATTTTTTTCCCTCCTTTCTTCCTTTCTTTCTTTTCTCCGCTCTTCTCTTTCTCTCTTCCTCCGTTCCGCATCTCGTTTGGTAAATGACCTAGCGCGCGATTCGAACCATTGAAAAAAATCGCAGTCTAAATAATTATCGTTCCATTCGTCGTTAACAAATCCAAATATCTGGATTCACTAATTCGAACGGGTGAAAGAGTGGAGAGAGAGAGAAAGAGAGAGGGAGTAACGATCATTCACTCACCTCGCCAGAATTTTCATCATTATCGCTCTTCGAGACAGAGTCTCTCGGGCCCAGGCGAGGATTTTTCGGATTTTTTTCCCCACTCGCTTCGACGATGCATATTCTCTCTCTCTCTCTCTCTCTCTCTCTCTCTCTCTCTCTCTCTCTCTCTCTCTCTCTGAGGTCCAGAATTCTCAAGATCCGAACCTTGGTCACTTTGATCGATCGACTATTTTATTAAGTGCGACATTTTTGGTATGTGTATATATATATGTACGCTATACTTTTCGATAAACCTTTGGTACTTTCCCTTTGAGAATAGTGCTCGATCAATCCTCTTTTCATTTCTTCTCAGTCACAATCGCGCGGCGACGCGACCGTTTCGAATCTTAAAATCTCTCGTTTCTTCGTCTTCTTCATTTTGTTTTCCTTATTCCCTTAAAGAAAGAAAATAAACGTTAAAGAAATTTTATTTTTATTATTTTTTTTTTTTTTTTTACCAACGAAATTATCAAGGAATATTGTTATATACGTAGGGATGCGGATACGTTTCTGGCAATCGTCAAAATCTCGTTAAAATTTCGTTTGAAATAGCACAGGTTTAATTATCTTTGTAATAAATGTTCCATAATAACTTTTACCTTTTTGTTTTTTTTTTTTTTTTCAGTTTATTGCAAACATTTTGCATTGCATTTTTTATATTTCTGGATGGAAACAAACGCGTAGCGTAACGTTTGTTTCCCACCTTTGCCCTTTTATTTTAACGATATTTTAAAACGCGACTACGCGTTTAATTGACAAAATTCCGACAAAATACGCTCCACTCTTCTTACTTTATCTTTCTTCCAAAGTTTTTTCTTCTCTCTTTCTTTCTCTCTCTCGTCTAGAATGTTCTAAAACTCTCTCGTTTCTTCGAATAAGGATCATAATGAGAATGAGAAAAGAATGCAATTATAGATTACTCGTAATAGCACGTAAATGTCTCGAGAGTATATTCGTCCTCCTCTATTTTTTCGCGATAGTAAACGCGCAATTATGCCGCATACTTTTCCCGCACACGACGTTGTATCACATTTACATGAAACGACACTGCTCGAAGGGAAAACTGTTTTAAGAGGGACTCCCCCTCCACCTCTTTGTATTTTTCTATATATTTATATTCTTTTATCATTTCTCTCTCTCTTTTTTTTTTTATTTATTTATTTATTTTTTTTTTTCTTTACGAGGCTCCTCGACATATTTTTCTTGCTTCTTTAGAATTTTCAAACGATATTGCAGAAAACGGGTTTGCTATCGAGTGTAAAAAGGTTTTCATATTAAACAGGGGTGTCCAAGGATTTTTGATTAGCATACAACAATGGCTTTTAAGAACGGTTGAATAGATACGAGGTTCGAGGTTCGTGCGTCTAGATTTTTTTTTCGAGAGAATATTTAAAACGCATGCGAAACGTACAATCAACGAATTTACAAACAATCGACGAATTTAATGGACGAATTGACAAAGCTCAAAGGTGAGCGTATATTTTATATACGAGTCAATCTAATATTCACCGATTTCGCCGGTGTACACGTGAGAATATAGGCTCCTCTCTCGATGCTCCCGTCCTCTTTTTCGTCGAAACGAAAACCCTATCGTGGCTGGAACTCCTGTCACGTCCCATTTTAGCGATCGTGAATCGTAACAAAATAAATGATCACGGCACAAAACCGGGCCGCAGCCCTCGGTTTTTCCTCCCCTTTTCATCGATTACCACCGCCGGCCTGGTTCGCGGGCCGATTCCGATCAAATCGATAACTTAACCTTCTGTCTCGCGCACAGAATCGAATCGATCGTCGGGAAAGGAAGACCGGGCCCTCCACCTTGGCCGATCCTTTTTTCGCCGGAAAAACAAGGCAAAACAAGGCCGGAGCAGTGCTTGTGCCTCCCTGCCCAACCGACTCCGAGTTATCGCCGATAAAATCGCCTGGCTTCCCGTGTTCCGGTCATCGATCGTTCGATTTTCATAAACAAGCGAGGCGCAAGGATGCGATGGAATTAGACCGGCTCGCTTTCAAACTTTCCCAACCCCGGAAACGTTTTAATACCTATCGGGAACTTTGGCCAATGTGTGTTCCTTTCGGTGTATCCTCGTATGCTTAATGTAAGTTACACGATGTAAACTCGAAGGTATCGATCGAGTTGGTATTTATGAAGTTGGTCTGGCCTCTACCAGCAAAATAGAACTTATTGATTTTTCCTACAGATTATAGATACGATAGTTGTGCGTGTATACGGGCTACAAGTGTCCGAAAATTTAAGGATTTAACGATTTATTAAAATTAGATGAAATTTAAACCCCTATAATTCCGAAGATAATTACTTTCGGACAATGAACGAAAGATGGTTAGAAACACGGAATCTTTCTCTTTAAAAGGCTTCTTGATTTATCCTAATACGACTTCCGGTTCCCGAGATACGATCATTTAAAGAAAAGATAATTTTTAATCGTTCACCTTTGATGCGATCAAATCCTATTAAAATTAGGAAAACTTTAATTCACTCTAACTCCGAAGATAATGATTCGCGGTCAACGAATGAAAGATCGTTGGAAACACGGAATCTTTCTCTTTAAAAGGCTTCTTGATTTATTCTAATACGACTTCCGGTTTTCGAGATACGATCATTTAAAGAAAAGATAATTTTTAATCGTTCATCTTTGATGCGATCAAATTCTATTAAAATTAGAAAAACTTTAAATCGCCGTAACTCCGAAGATAATGATTTCTAATCAATAAATAAAAGATTGTTGGAAACACGGAATCTTTCTCTTTAAAAGGCTTCTTGATTTATCCTAATACGACTTCCGGTTTTCGAGATACGATCATTTAAAGAAAAGATAATTTTTAATCGTTCACCTTTGATGCGATCAAATCCTATATATAAAATTAGAAAAACTTTAAATCGCCATAACTCCGAAGATAATGATTTCTAATCAATAAATAAAAGATCGTTGGAAACACGGAATCTTTCTCTTTAAAAGGCTTCTTGATTTATCCTAATACGATTTCCGGTTCTCGAGATATCATAGTGTAAAGAAAAAAGTATTTTTTGATCGTTTATTACGTTATCCGTCTCACCGAGCTATTTCAAACTGTAGACAAGACTCCTAGAAAAATATACATGATTTCTAAAAGACGTTCCAGGAAAAATTATAAATCGCGCAACGTTTTAAGCGTTACGAATATTTCGAGTTCTCGTATCTCGATAACCGATTTAAGTATCGAGATGAATCGAAAAGTGACTTGAACGGCACGATTTTCTCTGTTTTATGAATTTTTATCACGGAATCTTCTTCCCCATTCCGCTTCTCACTCATTCGAAAAATCAAACTTTGTAAAATTTTTTTAAACCACCAGCTTCCACAACTCGATCTATCAGATAAATGCATTTAAAGAAGCGAGCGCGAATATCATTTGTAAGTACCTTCGACGCTTCAGAGACATTTTAATCGATAACCTAATATCTATTTAATCAGATTTCAATACCCGTTGGGGGGGGGGGTGAATTTTCATTTAATCCCAATGTCTATGCGCCTGACTCGTAAAGACGCCCCGGGGACAGTGTGCCGAAGTCGGCCCCGATTAAAAATATCAAATTCTTAATTGGCCGTTGTACCATCGAGCTTACTGCTCCCCCGAGTAGTTTACACAAGAAATAACAGCTCTTTGTTATATCCACCCCCCTACCCTTCCCCACTACTCCGTCTGATTTTCCGTTCGCAGGTGGTGTTCGTGCATCAAATATATACGTACGAGATGCCTCGTTATGGCAAGTACATATTCCCTAACTGGGCGAATGTGATCGGAATACTGATCGGCCTGTCGACCCTCGCCCCGATGCCGTTATTTTTCATCCGCCGCGTTTGGAAAGGGCCGGTAAGTTTCGTCACGTGAGCAACGAAGAGGGAAATACGATATAATAAATCTCGACGATCTCTATCGTAACGATATACACTTAAATAAGGATTAATTTTGTCGAACGATTGGCAAGCAATTTGCACTCGCCACGCCACTCGAGTTTGCGAGCCGCTGCCCCCGGCTTACTGAGCTAAGCCCGAGATATCAGTTGGCATAATGCTCAACAAACTATATAGAGATTGTTATGCAAACTGCTCGTTGTTTTTACGACACGCTACTAGCTGAAGCCCCCGCCGCTTTAGAGTTTACGGTGATTCCGTGCTATAATAACCTATATCAAGCTTTTTGCTCCGTAGAGCGAAGAGAATCGTCTCGATTCGAGACGTTCCAGAGAGATTTTGAGAAATTCGTTCGGAAAGAAAAATCGAGTTTTTCTCGTCTTCGTCATCGTTTCAAATAGAGCGCTCTATATATTTTATTATTATTTCGAAGAGTTTCGATTTTAAAAAATTTTATTTTAAATAAAACGTGTACGCGTTGCAATTTAATTTAATTTAATTTAATTTAATTTAATTTAATTCGCGAGATATATTCTTTTTGCGCGGCAAAAAATCTTTCTCGTATCGTAATAAAAATACGGAAAGAATGGTCGAAGATAAATAATCGAAAATTCGATAAGATAATCGTAACGTGTAAGGTGCATAAGATAAGTTTGATCGAGTAAAATATTTAACCCTGCTCCTATTATTAATTCTTTTATATCTCGTTTTATAAGTTTTTACGATGAAGCTTATGCGAGAACGATGGTAATATAAAGTTGTAATATAACTTCCTACGTAAATTTGTTGGAGGCTTAAAGCAGTGCGGGGGTTTATCGGTTTCTAGTATTTTTTTCCGCCCGATTTATTAGCGGTTTGCTATAGTTTGCTTAAGGACCAGTACACCGACTTCGCAAGAGAAAGGAATCTTGGATCTTCGATCGAGATTAATGCAAATTTCTAAATCGCGCTGATAAATTTTATTTTTTAAAAAAGCAGGGAAAAATGTTCCTTTGTAGAAAACGATCAATTAAAATTATTATTATTATTATTATTATTATTATCCTCGAAACGAAAGCAAATTTTTTTTTTTTTTTTTTTTTTTGTTTTCTTTTTCTCGCAAAATCATTCTCGTAATTGCAACACGAGCGTTCGTTCCGTGTGTTTACCAGCGACGAGACATTGTAAATTTCCACGATAAAATGTGGCCGGCGTTTACACGATAATTATACAGCGCGTTTCGCGATATCGTTGCCACAACTCGGCTCTCTTTGTACGGATTTTGCAAATTTTTCTTTTTTTGCAAAACAGTCACGTACACCCAATCCAACTGCCTCGATTTTTTATGCCCCGATCGGTGCATGCAACCATGTCCAAAAAAGTTGCCATTCTTTACCGTAAAAATCTTCGACCGTAAACTTCGAAATGTCTTAATACAAGTTTTTCTACGGTACCTACGGTAGGTAATCGTACTTTGAAACGAAAAGTTTCGTTCCGTGCTCCATCGTACGGATCGAACCTATTTCATCCGTTTCACTCTCTCTCTCTCTCTCTCTCTTTCTCTCCCCTTGACCGCTTCCGCTTTGTTTTACTCGATAAATTTACTATTACTCTTATCTCCTTTCCTCCCGTTTTCGATTCTCTCTGTACAGCTCGAAACTACTTGCGAGCCACGAAGAAGAAGATACGAGGTTGCCGATCGAGAATCGGGAAAATCTTTCTCTCTTTCCACCGACCTCTGACTCATCAGAATATTATCATCATTATTCTAAATTGTATATTCTATCGAAATCCTCTTTCTCTCCATTAATTTCTTCTCTTTCGATAATCCATAGGTTACATTTTTAGCATTTAAGCTTCCAAGAAATATAATGTAATATATATATAAATATATATTTTATATATATATTTATATATATATAAAATTATATATATATATTATATATATATTATTATATATATATATTATATATAATAATATATATATATATATATATATATATATATATATATACACACGTGAACAAAACTCTCGAAATCTTTCATTCGACCACCATACCAGTCTAGGAAGCGTGCAGTTGAAACAGCGGGCGAGTTGACTGGAATTGTTTGCATGAGCCGCGGCCGATTGTTCAAAGAATTTGACTTTTCCGTTTTAATTGTGCGCAGAGGGACCGAAGCATGTTTCGACCGAAGAAGACGTGGGGGCCCGCCGTGGAAAAAAGTAAGGACACCGTGTCCACGGCCGTGTCCGTCAAGGTATCCGAACCGCGTGGGAACCACGAGACCCAGGAGAATTCCGCAGTTTAAACCGACAATCTTTTTGATCGATCCTTCGTCCTTCTCTCCACGTCGATTCTAGTCACGTCGATTCGGATGTTAATCGCTTGAGAAAAAGGAACGCTCTACCCTTAACGCATCTCCCCGATCGATTGCGATACACCACGGTTTTCGTGATCTTTTTTTTTTTCTCTCTCTTTCTTTTTTTTTTTTTTTTTTTTTTTTGAATAATATTATTCGCGACGAATCGCCTATTTATATACATTTTTTTTCGCATTTAAACGGGGGAGGCAAACGGAGAGGATCGCATTGTGATATTGGCGAGGTGTGTAACGACGATGTAATTATATAATCATTGAAATAAAATAAATAAGCGGTATGCGAAAAAATGTGAGTGGAGCAATGTGAGTTGGGAACCGCTGCTACGCACACTGGTTTCCTCCAATTCTCTTACGCTGGTTCGTTTCCAACCAACGATCTTGCGCGTATTATTTCCACTTGTTTCTCTGCTCTCTCCTGTTTCATTCGACGATAATTAGAGAGAAGTTTTCAAGGAAGGAGGAATCACGACGATGCGCGTTCCGATTTCATCATTTTTCAATCCTGGTAAAAAGAAAAAAATCGCGCCAACACTTTCCGTTCCTTTCGTTCTTTAGCAAGTTTTTAAATCGATGCTCGAGGACAAAAGGTTAGAAACCGTAAATACAACTATAATTTCGCCTCGAGCTTTAACTCAGTACTTGCCGATTAACAACGCATCACCGAGTTTACGATTTTCAGTTTCGAAAGGGATTCGTTTGCCATGTTTCCTTCCTTGCGTTTACAATTTGGCAAACGCGTCGCAATGCGGGCGAAATTCGAACTGCCAACTTCTCGATTAATTCCTTTTGGAATCCATTCTCGTGGATGGTCGCAGACGCGTAGAGAGAGAGAGAGAGAGAGAGAGAGAGAGAGAGAGAGAGAGAGAGAGAGAGAGAGATGGAATATCTTGAATATTTCAACACTGCGGGAAGAATGAATGAAAAAAATATTTTTGTATACGCGTTGCGTGTTACAATTTTTTTTTTAATATATATATATATGGTAGAACTGTGTAAATATGTTAAAAATAAAGTAAGAGAAAGGAAGGAGCGAGGAAAACATTTTTCGTGCCGGACCTGCTAATGGACTCATCGTTAACAAGCATGGCCTAGGCATGTCTCGGAAGCTGGAACAGCGGGAGGTTACATTAGAGAATATTGGGTGAGTTGTTTGGTTGCTTGCGATGCTTAAAATTCAATTATTGTAAATAAAGTAAGAAGGAACGACGTAATTTTAATAAAACGAGGTGGAGGACCAAGTGCGTTAGTTATTTCATTTATTTCTTAGTAACTTATTTTAAAGTTATACCTCGGAAAACCTTATTGATAATTGTGTTAACGGAGTTCGATACGAGATGGAGTAGTCGAACCATGGAAAATTGGTTGGTCGCTATACGCTTCACGAGCGAAGATAATTTTCAAAATGATATACAGAGAGAGAGAGAGAGAGAGAGAGAGAGAGAGAGAGAGAGAGAGAGAGAGAGAGAGGATAAGGGTAAGAACGGATATGGAAAGAAAAATTTTCGATATTATTCGTAATTGGAATACATATTTACAAGTGCATTCAACCGATAACCGCGATCCTCCATTGTTTTATTAATGCGTGAACTCTATCAAGCGGCAAAATAAACCCACTAATACCAACGTTAGCCCAGAAACGGGAGATATTACATATACACCTGCGCGAATCCAATTCATATACGGAATCAATCGATCGAATATACCAAAAAAGCATTTTGCAATTTTAAATGAAACGAAGTACTGCTTCTATACCGATGAGACTCTTATCGATCCACGGTTTATGAAACCTCTGACAATATATTCAGTGGTGCGCAAAAGTTTCCGGTCAAATTGATTTCCCACTTTATATTCGAAAAGCAATATTTAAAAGATTCTTAACTAATATCGAATGAAATACTATAACGATTGTACTATTGATTTCTGATTACAACATCGTTAAAAGTTTCTCGAAATAAAGTCTGACGCTTTGAAAAAGAAAAAAGAAGAAACAACGTGAGTCAGACTCATCGTTCGAAGCCAAGAGGTTATCGACTTTGCTCGATCGAATCTATTTAGAGCTAACAATGTCTTTTAAGTTTCTTGTAATTCCTCGACACAGAAATACACGTCGATCGAAACTTTTTGAATAAAATCACATCTTCGAGCAAAAAAATAATCGAATCTGACGACTCGGATCATTCTTCGATACCGTTGAGAAGTAACCATTGTGTCGTAAAAATTTTATCAAAATTATATCCACCAAACAAAAATATTTCAACACGTATCGAACACAATGAATATAACAGGCAAATAATATAACATCGTTAATCTCGGCGATAGCGATGCGCGATTCAGCAAGTTTATATTGCTAATGATGCAATGCATACCAGGATACCAGAATCCCACTATTGAAAATTACCTCTCTACCCGATGATGTATCGTTTATCTATATCGAGCTCTAAGCTAAACTTTAGAGAGCATTATCGGATGGGATGATTCGTCCTATTCTGGAATTCACGATTTATCGATTCCACCTATATCCAGAGCAAATCTCTGTCCACGGACTGGATTCCGAGAGAACTTTTCCCAACAATTTCCTCGCGTAACGAAACGACAACTCGTTGGTCGCGTTATGATCATCTGGTCGCACGCAGCGCCACGCCACGGCGGTGTAAAAGTGGCGACAGTGGCGCCCATTCGTCCCATGTTTCCTCCTAATTAATGCGATGGAACATCTACGGTACAAGGAATTCCATGTTCCCCGCGGCGTGGCAATATCGTGTGGCCGTCTGGACCGCTTGTACTCCGTCTTAACGCGGAATGTCGGTATGGGGAGACGAGAGGAGGACGACGAGTGGAGGGGTATTGCGTACTGCGTTAATGAGAATTCGGGTCGATCGTTGGTCGATTCGCAACGGTGCCCGCCATCACCCTTTTTTTCCTCGCCGCGTCAAATTGCCTTTCGATCCCTGAATTATCCGTCCCATGAATTTTTATAAGTTCTGACGCGTTTCGTCGCCTCTGTAGACGACTTCGACTATATGCACCGATATATTTGGGGGAAGAGGGGTACAAATTCCAAAGGATTCGGCCGAGGATAAGAAATGCGATAAGAAATTCTCGTTTCTCCTCTCGAATAAGAAAAGATATGAAAGCATAAGAATACCTTATTTGCCAGGATATGTCGTGAAAAATAATTCTATCTTATTGTCGAGGGAAGAAATGAAATTACGAACGATCGATCGATGCCAATACGTATGCCGGGATGCTTTCAATCTTCCCGAACAAATTGCGAAAATAAGAAGAGAAATTTGTGTCGTTACATATAAAATTTGTTGACGTTTCATTAAGAAGTCACGGGCGAATATTGAACATCGATTGAAATCATCCGATGTTGGCGAGAATTGCTGCGTTAATAAATGCGAAACATCGATTGTATTTACTACGTTTGTACTTGTAACGCGTTCCTTGTTTTAAGACATTTTATCGTGACTGACAGTCATAGAAATTGGCTTTTGATTATCGCTTACGTATCAATATTATACACGTGAAATTTTACACGTTCGAACGCCGAGAATATTTTTGAAATAAGGAGAATATTACGTATGACTTTTCATATTTTGTAATTGGGTAATGTAAAATCTGTTGTTAGACCGGTATTTCAGTCTACGATCAATATTTGCTTATAACTTTGTAATAAAGCGTTTTAAAGCGAAATTTTATGTAACATCTTTTTTCTTTTTCTTCTTCTTTTTTCTTTCTTTTTTTTTTTTTTTTTTTTTTGGTTCCTTGTGCATTAGACTGCTGTAGCGTGCTTGAAAAAAATTGAAAATACTCCGTACAACGTATATTAATCACTTTACATAGAAAAATGAAGAGGAAAACGGAAATATAAAATTGAATTCCATTGTTACGTCTTCGTACGTAATTTTATAATAATTTGAATTAAACACATTGTAATCATTAGTTTGTATTTATCGAATTATAATTACTCGCGTAATAACACGATAGGAAAATTTAATATATTATTCCCGATCACTTTTCTATCGATACGATAAGTATCAATTTCAATAGTAACCGCAAATGAACAATCGTAATTGGCATATTATTACTAATATGTATATTAATGTCAAACATTCAAAAGCGTTCCTAATTTGACGTTCTAAAATTAATATTTTAATATTATTATTGTGTTGGTATTATAAATATTGGAAAACGATTAAATAAGAGAATAAAGTAAATCAACGAATAAATCAAAGAATTTATCCTTTCTATGGCATCATGTTTTAATAAGCTCAGTTTCATCATATTATAAAAAACTGCATTAAAAATTCGCATTAATCTGTTTGCACTGAAGTTTCGCGTAGAGTTCGCGGCGTCTAAAGTTCGTACAGTATTATCGATTGTTTTGTATGCTTTCCTCGTGCTCGTGCAGTAAACCGAACGGTTTAGTTATTTTGTACGTTACAAAAGCAATGGTCGCCACGATTGTTTAACTATTTGATTGCAACCCACGTCCCCCCTCCTAAATTAGGTCAAAAATGCTAGAGGGAAAAGTAGATTGAACTACCAGAGTAGGGGAATTTTTTTTCGTTTTTCTGACGAAAATTCGAAAAAGTAAAAATAAATGCGCGCGATTGTTTTCGATATACACGATCGTGTTAATTTGTTTAAATTTTATTCGAGTTCGTATTTGAAATTTTAACAAGATCGTATATCGTGGATTCGTTATCGCTATCTTCGAATCTTTTCGTTACGTTGGAATACCTTCTTCATTATCTGAACATTGTTTGAGAAACCAAATACGTTTTCGCTTTAACAACAGTGTTAGTTAATGTTCTGCTCGCAATACGATAAATCTATACTTGAGTTTCCACATTGTTAGTAGCATAATAAAGTTCGTAACTTTATTATAGCATTGTTCGAGAAAAAGATAAGTGAATATGTTTAATAAGAATGTATAAAAAATAAAAAAAATATTAATCTCTCGAAATTTTAAATGTAATTAATTAATAAATAAGATAAGAGGTGTGTAAATGAGTTAGAGTTTTTAATTTATCGAGAAAGAAATAAGCTCGATCTTGTTCGGAGATTGTATCGATTAAAGGATTATAAAAATTTTGCACGATTTTACACGACGTTACGAGAAATGTTATCTGTTGCTAATTTAAAAAAAATCATTTCGATTCTGTTACACGTGCCACTGACTATTCCCGCTTCGATGTTCGAATCATTCTCTTATATTTCCTTTTCAATCTTTAATAATTTGAAATTCCATTTTAAATAATTCTAATTTTAGTAAAAACAATTTTTCCAACGAAAGGAATATATACAAGTGAAAAAATATACGAAGAGAGAGAGAGAGAGAGAGAAAACGTTTTATCCGTTTCGAACGTCGTAAATCGATGTCTCCTCTTGTCAAAATATAACGAACGCGGTAGAGCAAAGGATGATTCGATCAATTTCCCGAGTAAAACGTCCCAATCCCAACGAACGTAATTCCATAAGATGTAAATAAGTTTACGAGAGATAGAAGGAAGGAAGAGGAGGAAGAGAAAAGGATTGCAAAAAAGAACTAGGGAGAGGAGGAGGCGAAAGCGGAAAGATATTAGAGGAGAATAAGGAGGACAATCGGTTGTTCGGGAGGTAAGAAAAGAAAGGCCGGAGGGTATAATCTCGTCGCGATAACGAAGGAATCGCGGTGGTTAGTTTATAACCATTTAAACGAAAATTTATATCGGCGACCGAGCTAAGTGGCCCGATGCAACTGTAACGCGACGTTGCACTACGAAATTAGGTAACAACTTCGATAACGCGGCCCAGGCTGTGTAGATGGTGCTGCCTCTATATGTATAACGGATAGACTAAGTCACCG